GATGCTACCCAAACACTCTAAAAAGGAGCGCCCCTTCCCCAGTTTTTCCATTACTCACATGCCTGGTTTTTCCCCCCAAATTAAACTCACCAACCCCCGATTTGTAACCTTTTTCAATTCTGCTACTCACGGCTTCCATGATTATTTCCCATATGTGTGTTGATATGTCTTTTCAGAGTTTAGCCGTTTTCGTATGCTGCATAGTATAATTTGTTTATCATTAAACAAAACATTTTTCCTTATATATCTCAACGCGTTTATTAACCAGTCAGCCCGCTTGTCTGATTATTCTCTCCTCCTTCGGATTCTTTTCTTTCGATATGAACTATTACTTTTTTTTTTTTTTTAAAACCAGGATATGAGCTATTAGTTGCGAAATGATTTGGAAGTACACGCACTTTTGACTCCGCACAGTGCTTCCACCTTCGTTTATTTTGCATTCGCGTAATCATGTTAAGTATTTCTCTAGTTTTTAATATAAAACTTAATTATTAAGTTAGTTTTGATCCTAAATATAAGATTTATTTTTTATATTTATTAATTTTTTTAAAATTATCTTTGTAGATACTCCCTCAACCATAATCAAGTAGAAGAGAGATAAGGGGTATTAAGAAAGATGATTATGGTGTTTTAGGAAAAATGTATCACTTGTTTTATAATTAATTAACTTACTTAACTTTCTTAATCTAATCAAATTAGTTAAATAGGTCTTATATTAAAGACTGGAAGAGTAACATATTTTCCCTCCCTGCCTATGTGTGTGATTTCGAACTTATTTATGATCTTTTTGTTGAAATCCTCAAATTATATAGTCGCTCCTATTTTTATTTCCGAAAAAGAAACACTACTCTTCTTTTCCGAAGTTTATAGTTTACCGCGTCGTTTTGGTGGTCTGGGATTATTTTTTTTCCCCCAAGCGACGTATTAGAACTTGTAAAGTCTTTTTTTTTTCTTGTGATGAAAAAATTCGATCCCAGCAATCTGACAATCTGACTTGCATAATAGCAGAAATTACACAAGAATTTTGTCTATTCTTATATAACAAAGTATTTTAAAATTGAGTTCCCTTTATTTTGTTATTTTAATATTCCATCTCTTCTAAAAAGTCTTCCAACATACCAAACGGAATACAAAACTTTATGCACAGTTTTTATCTCTTTTAAAGTGTTTTTTATAACCCTCTCTCTTTTCCTCCTTCACACGAATGATTTTATTTTATGCATTAATTTGGAAAGAAGTCCAAACTATATAAGTTTTGTAGAGAATGACTAGTCAAAATTCTACAATATGATGTTATGGTTGGTGAGACTGAATTCATTATCAACAATAATATTGGTGGCTTTGGGGAGTTGTCAAAAGTGTACAGTGATGGATATGAACCGCAAATGAACTTTTTAAGAGGTTAAACGAATTCTTTAGAAAACAGTAAATGCTACAAGGCAAAATTATCTAAGAACGCTGGTCAAAAAAATTATTTAAGAACGGGCCACTCAAAAGTTGCACAAAGGACACCGAGATACGTTCACGATCTCGATCTCAAAGGATTCACGCTTATTTCTAAGGAAATCGACAAGTGTAAAGTTGTTAGTGATCTCACTGAACGCAAATCTAACACGTAGGTGACACAAAGTAGTAACCTCTGTATCTTTTCTTATTATCATTATCACCATTCTGGGGTTGGCCAGGGGGCTCATCTGAGGAAGAAATCCTCCAAAGCAGTTGGTAAAAATCATCTCTGCTACATATGAAGAGTACTGGCCGGGGTTGACTTCTTATCTGGAGATGGTGACGGCACAGGTTTTCTTATCCTTGATCAGAATTATTATATATACACGCGTGTGTGTGTCTATGCAGAAAGTAGATTGCATCATGACTCACAAAAATTTAGCAGTTTCAATGAGATACACCATATAGGTTAAAACGGTGATAAAAGATCGGATCACACAATGAAATGATTTGATATGATCAGTACAAGGCTCATATATGACCTGACCATGGAATAAGCTCGTTTCTTGTGTTGCATGGCGCTTCTCTCTCTGATCACTGTGAAATTAAAAAGAAAGAAAGAGAAAGATATGTGAGGATGAAGACGAAGGTAGGAGAGGACAAGCCATGTGAAGTGAAAGCCACATTTGCTGGACAGATAGCTATGTATCTCTATTTGCATCCTGTTCCCAATAACGACGGTTTGCGTCGCGATAAATTATACCCTTCTTTTTTCAAAAGAGAAACAAAATAAAGAGCAAATGTTTCAATATTATGCTGTAATTCGTTAGATTTGCAAATTTCTTATGGGTCCATTTTTCGCTGTCTTCTTATGATTACTGTTGGGTTTTTCATTTATGTAGTATTTTCTCTTACAAATTATTTCTAAAAATCTGAGCGTGACGCTTATGATCTTTCGCTCCATTTCATACTATTCCTCTCTGCTGCGAGTGTTTCTCACCAATTCAAACCCCACATACAGGACTTGTGTCAGTCCTCCAACATAAACTTGTTCACCACTTCCTTGATTATTTCCTTTTGTCGTCATCTGCCAAGCCACTTGTTTCAAGTAAAAGCCTAAGCGTTTCATGCTTGATGGTTAATTTATCAGATGATACCCTTTTAATAACTCTGGGAACCGAGTTCAATAAGTATTTCCAAATATACGAATGGCATTTCAATTCCGAGGACTCGGCAAACTCACTCCATATACGTATAGTCACGAGTTATTAAACTCCACAGTTGAAAGACTTGAAATTAACAAACATCGCTGAATTGGGTTTGAGAGAATGAACAGCTCTTCCTCCATCTTCTGCGGAGGATCAATATATAGTACGAAGGAAAAATGATGAACCAGAAGGGTGAAGAGGCGAGAAGGAAAGATTCGAGATCCCCACATGGGTCTTTAATTTGAGGATCCTTTTGTGGTTTTAATTAAAATGTGGCTCCCATCCTTCAACCAAACAAACTTCTTTTCAAGAACAAAGGTAAAAAAAGAAAAGTACGAAACAGGCGAGTACTTTCTATCTCTCTTTCTCTAATTTTTATGTCACGTAAGTTTCAGATTAGAATAGGCCACCGACCCTGCGCGAGACAGCTACATGCCTTGCTGCAAAATTTGTTGTTTCTTTGGCTGACACAAAAATGTAATCTTTCTGTCATCTTTGCCAAACGGAAAAAAGTATACCTCAATGATTGAAGAGAAAATAATTTAAAATCCATCTGACCATGAAGATTCATTCAGATTTATACAAACGAAAGTAAAGACCCTAAAAAATCTGCCCATTCATCCCTGTTCTTTATATAGTTTGTTTTCGTATTTGATCTGTCTAGCAACATTTTAAGCATTTTTTCTGTGTCATTGCCACCGAATTCATGACTGATTCTCCTTCTAGTCTTCCTGGGAACCTTCCCAGCGAGGCTAATTAATAAGGAGAGGAGATGGAATTGAACAAATCACAGGCCAAGACCACATAAGCAGTACACGGGAATTGCGCGATGCACATGAGCTGTCTAATTTTGGATGCTTGTTAGGTGCTTGTGAAAATTCCTATGTGAGGTGGCCGTTCCATTAGGAGCGGTCATTTATTTATGTGACAAAAGAGGCTTCTCTTTATGATTTGATCCCCACTTATTGACCACCTTTAATGGCTGATGCGGCATGAGCGGTAAAGTCATGGAACTTTGGAACGAGAGAAGATAAAGCAAAAATGGAAGCCATGCATGTACGCATTAATATGCTGTTGGGCATAGACTAGCTAGCCTTTCATCTCTCAAGGTATATATCCATGCTAGCACATGACAGAAGCTAGAGCTACCTGAACGTTTCAGAGGTAAAAAGTGAAAAGCATGACCAGACGAATCCAAAGTCCCGAAATAGAGGAAGCGTTGAGCCAAATTAAGTTAATCCAAGCTAAGTGCGTTGAATTGGCCAAGGCTGAGTCTCTTGCTCCATAATCTTGATTGGTTGCTTTTGCTGATAATGCACGAAGTGCAATTACATTCAAACAAGAGCAGTAAGGCTTGGTGTGACGTGGCCCAAGGTGGAAAATCAAATCAATACCCAACAGGGGGGCCGGTAGACGCCCTAAGAGGTTTGAATAAAAGCTGCAAATTAAAATCATTAAAGGGTGTTAAGCGACGTGTAGCCACATAATTTCACTCGAAGAAAAGCAACGGATAAAAATCTCTCTATTCCAATGGTGGCTTATCATATCTCCTTCCAGTCCCAACCTTTTATCTTTTTCCTTTCATATTCCATGAATTCGGCCAACAACATTATCAGTTTCTCACCGTCTATTTCTTGTTACTGTTGCCCCATAAATTTATGTCGACTCGTGTATCTTTTTTTTTTTTATTTCAACATTTGACTTGTGATATGTGATAAAATATTTCATGGGCACATTTTTGAAGCGCAGACTCTACAGTGAACATGTGAAAATAATCATTATATCAATGTCAATATTAACAATATACATATGATGATAGTTTCAGAGACATGATAAATTAAAGTATTTATTTAAGTGCGTTTTAACTTTTTACTGCCTTTTTTTGGCCAATAAACCCCATTGCATTTTTACTGAGCATACATTGTTATTTCAAGTGAAATGAGTGTGCTTGAAATTTTTTTTTCAAATATAGCATATTTATGGGGAATATTCCCCCTCAATCCACTTGTTTTTAGGAGTGATTTACTTTTATTAATCTGATTAAAATTATGATGAATGAACGCAAGATCATTTAAATGGATTTTACTATGGAAGGTCTAAATTAATGTCCCTATTGGGCTCAGGCTCGATGAGATTCACTTGGGTATGGCTGAATAATCATGGGCTTCAATTGAAAAAAAAAAAAACAAAGATCCAAAATTTTACGGGTTTGGACGATCCGAATCCGTGCATGAATTTGAAATCGGAATCCCTCTCCCGCAGGCTTGCTAATACTGATAAACATAGGAAGTTATAGCAACGGTTCTCGTTTGGTCCGAGGAAAGAGAGAGCAGCATATTCCTATACCGTTGCATTGACAACACGCGAGAGAAAAATTCCCGTTTTTTAGTTGCAACATCAACATCGTCTTCTCCTCGCACAGAGGACAGTGCGGATCTGAATTCCGAATCAGAGTAATCCTAAAAGACGCAAAGTATGACTGTTAAACCAGCTGATCAACTCCCCGATACCAAGCCACCAAAATCGCATCTCCAGCACCACCATTCCCCTGATCACGCTCTATATCCCAAACTCGACTCGAACGACGTCGCCTCGTCCCAGTACGCTACCCAACAATCCATCCGTGGCTCCACTGGTACTTGCTTCCCAGTTTCCGGTGGCGCGGCTAGCAAGATGCCTACGGACTCCCATCCTTACGCATCTTACTCGCCGGCACCGACTCCTTCTGCCAAGAGTTAGTATTCGTATCCCCACACGGAAGTCCATGTATTAGTTGGAAGTTCGTGGTTGTTTTGTGTGCCTGACTATTCCTGTTCATTGGCAGATACTCTAGGTTCAGTGAAGGTTATCCTGGGAAAATGGGGAAAGAAAGCGGCAGAGGCTACCAAGAAGTCCCAGGATTATGCTGGGAACATGTGGCAGCACTGTATTCTTCATCCCTATTATTTTTTTTCCCTTTTGTTGGTATTCCTAGGTTCAATTTCCAGAAATTTTTTATGCATGTTGATCATTTGTTACATTTGTACTTGGATCGTCAAATGGATGTGTGCAAAATATGAGCTTTCTCTCATGACTATTGTACATGGTGTAAGTGAATCCACAGTATCGGCAAACCTTGTCTTTTCTTCACCTCTCATGTTAAGAGTGCTATGGAAATTTTATCGTCTTAGCTCTAAGTTCTTCATTTTTTTTTTAAAATTTCGTGCATGTATGTTGATTTTCTATGGGACAGTGAGAACGGGTCCCAGTGTTGCTGAAGCAGCTGTGGGGAGAATTGCTCAGGGAACAAAAGTTCTGGCCGAAGGTGGGTATGAGAAGATCTTTGGACAAACTTTTCAGACTGTTCCACAGGAGAAACTTATAAAAACATATGCTTGCTACCTGTCCACTTCGGCTGGTCCTGTAATGGGAGTTCTATATTTATCAACAGTAAAATTGGCATTTTGTAGTGACAATCCGCTTTCTTTCAAGATGGGCGAGCAGACCAAGTGGAGCTATTACAAGGTATGCTGGATGTTTTATGCTTGCTCCTATGAATGATCTGATGGTATGACCTATGAATGAGGACGACTTTAGTTACCTTTGCTTATTTACTAACTCGGTATATCCATTGGTAGTCGGCCTACATTTTTCATCATGTGAAGTTCTTTGGCATTTTGAAGCTGATCTATTTCTACATTTACTTATTTCTACAACGTGCTTGAATTTGAAGATCCTCAGTAAATTAATCACAAAAGATTAAAAAAAAAAAAAAAAGGAATCCTAAGTAAAACTCCGTCAGGTCATGTGTTCACAGAAACGAAACTCTTCTCTGCAAGGACACCGTGTTCTTAGTTTTCCATTTGCTATTAACAGTTTGCTTTTCCATGGCAAATATATGATTGCATGATTTCTTTTTCGTGGATAAATAGGTGGTCATTCCGCTGCATCAGCTGAAAGCAGTGAATCCATCAACAAGCAGACTAAAGCCATCAGAGAAATATATACAACTCATCTCTGTTGACAACTATGAATTCTGGTTTATGGGCTTTTTGCAATATGACGGTGCTGTTAAGAATATTCTAGAAGCATTGCAGCCTCATTGATAAGCACATCAGATGATCAAAAAGGCCCCCACTTTGTATGTTGTCACACAAAAGATGAAGTCTGCATCGATAAGTTATAGACCGCATCATGGAGTTTTTCAGCTGTGTATTATGGTAGTCCGCTGGTCTTGTTTGCGGACAAGCTGCAAAATTGAAACTCATTGGTTGGTAACTGGTATAGCATTTGTTGTGTGAGTTGATGAAAAACTTGATGAAGTACGCATAGATTACTTTGTGGAAACAAGATTTGCTTCGTCCTTTGTAAGATGGATATTGTAAATGTACCGGGCATGATGTCTCCGGCTCTTTCGACGAGGGCCCATTCTAATCTATATTTCGTGAAGCTGGTCGTGTTCAAAGTTCATACATTTTAATGTGTTATATTATGAGAAAAGTCAAATATAATGCAGTACGCCTCACGCTGCATAATCATCAATCAATATGCTACCTAAAACTATAGTCCTTATCACTTCGTATTTATTATTTACATGTTACTACCTCCGGTCCTAATTATAAGAGCCAATTGACTAATTTGAAGAGATTAAGGAAGTAAGTTGAGTTAGTTATTTGTTCTAAATAGGTGTTGTCTTTTCTAAAATATCCTTGCTAATCAAGTGTATTGACTAGAACTCTTATTATTAGAAGGGTTAATTTAGGAAAAAATATATAAATATGAGAGACAAAGTAATTGGAGTCTTATATTTAGAACCAAAATAAAAATCAAACAGGATATTATATTAAGGACCTGAGGTAGTATTTGTTGATGTTATCTCCAGATCTATTTATAAGGAACAACTTGGTAAGCCAGGCCCAACAACGGGCTACGGTAGAAGATGAAAGAAGTTCAGCGAACATAAAATCACTTTTTTTTTTTTTTGGTTGAAAGAAACTGAATAGACCAAAGGCTTCAACAAAAGCAAGGCCTCAACTTGTTAAGCCTAGTCCTACAAAATCACGTTTCAAAGGGGCGATTTTTTTGTTTTTGGCGTGTTTTTATAATAATTATTATTCGTATACAGGGGGACAATCGGAACTGTTCATTAGGTTGGCTTTTTATATGCTCTGTTTGATTTGAATCAAAGATAAAACGAGCGAACCCCCCGCCGCCCGCCCCACAACCCAGCCCCGGCAGACAGTGGAGTTGGAGGCAGGAAAAGGTGGGTGCGCTTTTTCTGGGTCTCATTTGAGATCCTACTATCCCCGCCCCTATCACCTAACAGCTCTGACACGCATGGCCCAACTCTTTCTGACAACATCTTCTAGGCCCACAATGAAATATCGAGATGGGCCCATCTCCCATCAACCCACCCACCACGCCTGTCTGCAAAACAGCGATCACAATTACTGTTGCTTCCTAAAATTCAGAACGGAAAGCCGAATCCACAACTCCCATCACCTTCCATCACGCTCTCAGCTTCCGTACCGTCCCAATTCGCATTACTTGCTTTTGCTTTCATCCACCGGACACCTTCATATCCAACAGAATCAAGTTGTGTTGCTGAGCTATAATAATCGTTTCGTTTGAATCAACCCCAGCGAGAGAGACCAGAGAATCCTGTGTTTATCATTAATATTTATTGGCCTCCGCATCCTTTGCAACGATCCTCAGCCTGCATTATTCACGTGCTTATATGTATACAAAATGTTTGCGACTTCGCTAATTTGGATGGAGGAATAGCTGGAAATAATCTCTTTTGGCGGGTTGGTGCAATGCCATTAATTACAACTTCCGGCCGTCGCGTGTGATGCCCACCCTAGCTATACCTAAAACTAAAAACGAGGCGTACTTTCGGTATTACTAATTTATACGAATTGCACGACCAGACTCAGATAGACGAACCACCCAATATTTTAATTAATAATAGGGACATGTATATCTCGCCTACGATTGAGGTTCATAATGGGGAAGATGATGATGAAGCAATATATTCTTAATTAATACTATCTCCTTTCCTTAATATAAAAAGTAATTAACTAATTTGAGTAGATAAAAAAATATATTAAGTTAGTTATTTATAATAATTAAATTTTTTTTATATAACACCTTTTTTAATTATATGTATTAGTTAGAACTACCATTTAATGAAGTTTTTAACATGTGCAATTAGTATGAGAACTATTTTTTTAAAAAAGATAAATATGATAAATAAAATAGATTGAGGTGTTATATTTAGGACCAAATTAAAAAATCAAATTAGCTCTTATACTAAGAAGAGGGGAAAGCACAATAAATTAAGTGGAGGAAGCAAGTATTATTTAATGAGGAGTTTGCAGTTGGGTATACGTGGGAGTGGTGAACAAGATAGTTCATGCACGCAGGCTTCATACTGCTTGCTACCTCAACACCATGCATGGGCATGGCCTCCGATCCATTGGAATACTTATATAGTAAACTGCGCATCATCAATCACCAAATATGTCATAAATTAAAAAGGGACACAACATGCATGCACTGTTCGATATGAAGATGGTCTTGTCTGGATTCATAATCAGCAATACAGTTCAGACGCAGAAACAGACAACCCCCTCCTGCTCCTTCATTTCAACCTCTCTCTCACACGCACAGCAGAGGCAGAGGGATAGAGAAAGAGAGAGAGAGAGAGTAGGCCCCACTGCCTAATAACAACATTAATCCTAAACCTAATCCCGCCCTTCCTGCGGGTCATTTAATTTGTTGCTAAATGTCCCTCTCATAATATACTCAGCCGCGAGACCAAGAAGAGCAGCAATAATGCATATAACCTACACTGGAGAAATTATATTGCCCGGTATCGTTCCTCCATTTTCCTGTGTCTACATTTAAATCCCTGCCTCCTATACTCTCTATTTAAAGAGTTTACACTTCTCCTACACAACTCGTTGATTAGGCCTCTTTTCTAAAAAATATAAAAGATGCACTTCAAACGGAGTACACCGTGGATTTTTATTCCAAAAATATAATTGTTCACGTGTTAATCTCCAATTCAGTCAGAACATACTTGGCCATTATTTGCAAAATGTATATATGGTCATGCAAGAGGGCGCTTGCTCTTTGTTACTTGAGTGTAGATAACACTCTTATAATTGGAAAGAAAATTAAAAAAAAAAAGATAATTAGAGTGTTTTAAAAAGAACATATTATATTAATTAATTTAATTAACATTCTTAACCTACTCAAATAAATTAATTAGGTCTTAAGTTAAGTACTAGAAGAGTATTTAACAAAAAATTGAATTGCGTGGTTGACGGTTAATTTAAGAGAATGCTGAGATGAGAAATATTCACATATTATTTAAAATAACGCAGAAGGGGGGGCATTAAGAAGGTGTCCATGATAATCAGAAGAGCCTGCACATCTGCAAGACTGTGTCTGTGGTCTGTGACGGTGCAGATGAACAGTGTACGATTTTGCCGCGTGAATGTCCACTCCTTGTTATTTCTTATTTGTTAACTTCACCTCTTCTTTCATTTCTTTCTATATTTTCACACTCCCCCGCCCAACCACACATAGGCAGGAATATGGGTTTTCAAAAGCATCAAAATTTCAGGGTCTCCCTCCTTTTCAGACAAAAAATAAAGCAACAGCGACCCAACACAAAAAAGAGAGGTCAATAACTGAAAGTCTTTTGAGCAATCAATGGAGGACGAGGTATCTCTTCTTCAACAAGTAGTACATATGAACAAGCGAGAATTGTGCCGAAAGGAGCATAAAATGGTATCACTCTTGGATCAGAAATCTCTTTAAAATAATTCGTGTTTTTTCAGTTCCGTTCGCACCCAGAAGAATCCCAAATCATTGCGAGTATGAAAAAGAAAGGAGTAAAGCTGTGAGTTGGTGAGAAAGAAGAAAAGCAGTTAAAGTTGACAGATATCAGAGAACAAGAAGCAAGTTTTAGAACTGATCTACATTTACATGAAATTAAGTGAATTTGAAATGGTATACTTCTATAATTATATTAACAATTAACAATTCAAGCTGCCTTCTTTTGTTCATTATAATTGTTGTGAAATTCCATGTTAAGCGAGAACGATTAATAAATCATTTTCCTTAAGCTAAGATAATACGCCTACTGCATTCTGAAGGTTGTTGTTCAATGTTCAGAATTGGCTAATGTCAAACGGAAATCATATCCGATCCAAAGGAAGTAGAGAAGGAGAAATGAGGAGTAACCCTAGCTAGCTAGAACTCCATTAAAACTTGACAGTACAAATTTTCCCCATTCGTTCTGACTCCCCTCTTCTCTCACCTCAATGATGCTAAACTCCAGGCTTCAGCTTTTGTAATTATAATAGAGAGGATCGTGGTAACAAAAATGCCGAAACCCAACCATCTTGACCTAAGAATGGCAAGTAAAAAGGAAGAAAACAAGGAATTGAAATTAGGGTTTCTTACCGAGAGTGTTCTTGTTATTGTGCATCCAAACCTTAAGTACATGTCTCTTGACACAAGTCTCGGCACAGAATTGCTCCACCGCAGCTTCATCATGCTTCTGGATTCTCCACCCGACACGCTCCGCGAATGCCAGCATCTTCTCCTTCTGCTCCTGCGTGAACTTCGTCCTACACCTTTTCTTCCCTCCCCCGCCTCCGCTTCCTCCGCCTCCGCTGCTGCTAGGATTCGACATGTCCTCTTCATCTCTAATCGGCGCCGGAGCCGGCAGAGCCAAGGACCTCTGCATCGCCATCGGCTGAGCCGTCAGATGGTGGTGGAGGTACCCAGCTGGTGGCGGAGGAGCACGGTAGTACGGTGGATACTGCTGGTGGTACTGGTAGTGCGGCGGCGGCGGCAGCTGCGGATGCGGGGTCATGTCCCCGCTGTCCGTCTCCTTACGGTGGAAATTTCGGTGACAGTTACAGGCGGCGCATTTTAGCGCGTCGAGCGTGCCTTCCTCTCCAGCCGCGATGAACTCTCCGCAGCCATCGACCGCATGTGCACCGAGGCTGACGGCGTGGTTCTTTTGGCATTCTCGGTACCTGGCTGTTACTCCGGGCTCAGCCTTGCGGCCAGGTGTGACGGCAGAGGCGCCACCCTCTGCTCCTGCTGCTGCTCCACCGGAGACACTTATTTTGGACCTGGGGACAGAGTTGTTGGGGAGGGAGTCGTAAGCAGGAGGCGACACCGGGATCTCGATGTCGTCTTCCTGCTCGTCGTGCTCCTCAAATTCCATATCCGGCTCCACTTGTTTAAATTTGGTCTCAAGATGTTTGGGATTGCTGGGAACCTGTTTTGTGCTTCCGATAGGGGAAGATCTACAGGACCGGTGACCCAAAGAGAAGCAGTTTCACCCGGGGGGCGAATATGTAAGACTGTATTTATAAAAAGGTGTATATTTAATTGTCATTTGGCGATTCTAATCTTAATGTAATTAAAACGAAAAGGGGGAAGATTTATGGAAGTAAGGTATAGGGGCAGAAATGTTAATGGAAAGAAGCGACAGTGTAATGATTAAAATTTTATACGACTACAGATTTAGCTTGAGAGGGGGGGGGGGAGTAGATAAGACTATAAGAGAGATAAGATGAGGATGTGGTCATCAATATTTTCCCAGAGTGACAGAGAAGGGAGGGGGTCATTCTCTCGAAAGTCTTTGAAACACTTTCCATTCGATCAGCTCGTGTGTGTCTCTCACTCTCTCTTGTATTATGTTTATTTTAATTTTTATTTTTTTTACTTTGACCCATCTTCTGTTTTCATGCCTGTACTGAATTTTGAATTTCCAAACACAGCCCAAATTTTACCCGGCGCATTATTGGGCGCAGAGAGAGTGAGAGGTGTAGTTTTAGTATCTAAATAAGATTCGAATATAATTTGATTAGAGGGAGGCGGGGCATGCGTGAAAGAGAGCTGAGGGACAGGATTAAGCGTGGGGAGGGAGAAACATAGGATAGGAATTAGGAAAGGACGAGAGAGAGAGTGGATGGATGGATGGATGGGAGAAATGAGGGGGGGGGTGTGTGTCGGCATTTGTGGGAGCTGACGACGTGGCCTCCTCCTCCGACAGGAGCTGACGTCATCCACCGTCTGGCTCTGGCCCTCCGCATTTTTTGTTTGGGATCAACTCCCTTTTGTTGTTGTTAGGGCACGGTGAGGTAACTCCACGGTTCATGCGATTACCATGCCCTGATCCCTGTCATTGGGCGTTCCTTCTCCTCCTCCATTTTTTTTTTTTTTTGGGTTGGGTTGGCCACTTCCGTGTGATGTGGACAGTAGTAGGCTTTTCCCAACGCATTATCTCCTCAACCAACCACCCCCAGCATGCTTATCTCCTAGTTAGGCATGGGCATTCTCTTCCCATCCTGTTTTATCCTCTCAATTTTATCCATTTTTATTTTGTCCTTGTATCTCTTATTAAGTATAGTTGGTGTGTGTATATATATATTAAAGAGTTTTGCCTGCCTGCTTCCCTGCAAAGGTTCCAAGATGTTTCGTTTTCATTCTTTAATTAATGTCACCTTTTCCGGCGATGTATATAGACGAAGTGAAAACACAAGCAAATTTCAAGGCCTAAAACGTGATTTGAAACTTTCTATCTGTTATCATGTTATTATATATTGGCTTAGACGCCAATGAAACTGATCACCAGGCTATATCTATTCAGGGGAACAAATAATTGGACGGGTTGAATGATGTCATAAATGCAGCCCAAATTCTAAATTGACGGTGCAAAAAAAAAAAAAGGACGAAAGAACGAAAGCAATGGGAAAGAAGAAGAGGCATGATATGTGATTGTGCGTTGTGAATATAGAGGGGAAGCAATTATGAGGAGCATTATTGGTGGAGACAGAGGGCGGGCCAGGAACACATGGCGGAAATAATTCACAGGAAGAAGCAAGGCATGATTTGGTCGCATCTTTAGAAACTTGAGGCGTAAATTTCCCACACCGCATGCATTACCTACACTTTTTCAGTCACCCTCCGAACTCCCTAACATATCTCCACTCAGCATTATAACGGATCTCATGCATTCAATTCGGCTTCCCTTTGCCATGCTTTCAGGTTTCGATCCGCGCCCATAAAAGATTTTTCATATTCTGCAAATAAGGGACGAGACATTTGAAAGAGCTAGCTAGGTAAGTGTGGTTATGATATTTTGATTAAAAAAATATGCACAAAATAAAAGCGTGAGAAAAAAAAATCATTGAAATCTCTCGTCTCATGCCCTTGGCAGCAACCAAAGACGGCTTTGATGCCTGGGTCAAACTGTAGCGTAACTTTATATATATATATGAGAATGACACTGAAGTGACAGAATATATATGCTGAAAGAATAGCTTTGTTATCAAAAAGGAAGGAAGGACGGTGGAGGAGGAGGAGAGGTGGTGAATTGGCATCGAAGGGCACGTGCCTGGATCTGGCGCTGTCACCAAAACCCACGAAACCAGAACCCCTCTGATCACCACTCTTATTTGATTTTGCAATTGGCGCCCCTCACTTCACTTCCCACCCACTTCACTATTTGATTCATTCCCCGCCCATATACACACACCCTACATGCTCTACTCACATAAGAAGATGGATATATACTGTTAGGAGCAAAAAAGAACAAGATGGTCAACAATATAGAGGAAGGTATCAAATAGCAAGGGTCAGTTGAAGAAGGCAAGATAAAAATGGTGGCCTGTGGGGAGAGGGAGGGAGGGAGGGGGGGAGAGAGAGAGAGAGGGATTGATGAGTGAGTGACAGCGGAGTAAAAAAAAAAACAGAGAGAGAGAGAGAGAGAGGAAGAAAAGTAAAAGTAGAAAAGGGAGGAGAGGGTGACAAGACGAGGGAGTGGGGGCTCAGGCTCTGAGAGAGCTGGTATTTCCATTTGCATGCTTTGGGTGACAGGCTTTTGCTTGTTTATATAATGCCGTATATGAAAGTGGAAACCCCCCCCCCCCCTCACATTCACCTACACTGAGCTTGGGGGTCCCCTCCCCTCAGCGTTTACCTATCTACTGTAAATCTGTAATCCACTGCCTGTGCTGTCTTGGCGTTTAAACAGCAAATATATATATATATATATATATTAATTCATGGAGGGCATTTCGGTCACTTGCTGGGGGAAACCAATATTGGCGTGTGACAGCCACGTGATGGTACATGGTGTCTCACTTTATGATGAGGTGGTTGTCCATTAGCGATTAGGGGCAGCCAGAATTTGGTGGTATTCCCAATTTCCGTATGAGAGCGAGACAAGTATTATTCACTCATGTGCCCATCATTCATTCATTCCCATGTTGTCGTTTCATCTCCTCTCCATTCCCTCCCTCGTGCCACGCCATCCCTGCTTCATAATATGACAACTTCGCTCACAAATCATTCACACCGCCCCTTCATTTTCCTTCTGTATCGTTATATCCTTCCTTCTCTCTCTCTCTCTCTCTTTTGAATCGAGGGGGTTATTTATTAAACGAAAATATTTACAAGGGGCAGACAGAGAAAATCCTTCCTTCTCTCTTTACAAATTACAACCACGTTTCAAACATGGTCATGCACTACTAAAAAGTTTTTGTTCTACACATAAGCCACTCATACCATGTTTTATACTGATTTTTTAATTCTATCTTTATTTAATTTTTATTTGAAAGGGGGAAAGAATAGAGAGATGTGAGGGTGATTAGTAAATATGGAGGGAAGTAAAATTCTAATAAGCATAAAATTAGGAAAAAAATAATTTAATACATTGCATGTAAGAATATATTGCAAATGACTTATATTAAAGACTGTACTATTATGTGCACATTCAAGACATTATGTTGTGCGCAAACCCAAATGATAGAACAAGAATCATAAAACTGGGGCATTCGCTGTGCAAGAAACATGATTCCTGGGAGCCGAATCCCTCATGAAATCGGGGTACTGTATTGCATGCAACCCAAATAGTAGTAATTAATTGCTTTGTGAGGCCACGCTTCGTGCTCCGTTTTCCCTAGATCGATCGGCAATGACGACTCTTCTTCTGCCCATGATCGCGCACGTACTCCCATACGCATCCACGTTTCTTCTGCAACTTTCGTTCTCCTCCCCCGCTGCATTCATATATGTGTTCATGTTTCATGCTTAAACTGTTTCGAAAAGAAATGATAATTGACTAATGACTTTGTTCCCCAAAAATCCTTTATCAATCGTGAATTAATTACTTAATCATATTAAATAAAGGGTATTTTTCAAAGTTAATACAGCACTTCTTTTTAAAAATAAACTTCTCATCTGTTTTTAATAATATTTATTGGTATTCGCGGTGTGCTCCAAAAACATTTTATGAATGAAACGGAAGGGGCTTTATTGCCTTTTTTATTTGGTGGATGCGTATCATTGATTTTCAATATATAATAAAGGCCCCGTGTATGTGTATATCCAAATATGTCGGATAATTAAAAATCATATCAGGATATTATTTACTTTCCCCCTGTTTTCCAAACATATTTCCAAAGTGCATTCCTATCTTATTTTCATATTTCGTGTAAAAAACAATAAATATAATAATTGATCTTAAATTGTGTGCCTTTTCGTAAATCCACTTGTCAGGCGAGCGCGCGACAATGGAACCAACATCATTCGGCTGTTTGCTCACCGACAATGCAGGCCCAAATTCTGCTCAAACCCGCCTCGGCTCCTCCTACCACTTAAAATGACTTTACCCTTTATTGGACTTTTAGGCATGTTAAGCCTGCAAGTCAAATTGCCTGGCCCATGCTCCTTAACACTGACTTGCCAATACCGCACCCATTCGCATCCCTCCAAAGTCCAATCTTAGTACTCCTCTGATTTTAAATATAAAACTTCTATATACACTAATATAGGGGTGTTATAGCTAGGTGCGGAGTACTTACTTCCCCATTCACTTGATTCAGGTATTCACTTTAAAACAAAAACTAAAATATACCCCCTTCCGTCATTATTATATGGTACGTTATGAAAGAGGGGGGAGAAAGAAAAGAAAAGATGAAGCCAGAAAAACTATTGATGAAAATATGAAGAGGCTTCCAAGGCGCGAATAGCGGCGGCAATCGCCACGTGCCTGATGCATGTGATCCTACGATATTAATTACTTTTCTCGTTTTAATTAACAAATATGTTTGGTATCTTATTCTGTCCGTCAACCTAAACTTTTATCACCGGCAAATTAGGGGATCGGCCTCTGTTTTTCATCAGGTGTGAAGTAGAAGGTTAATATATAGGCAGCACCTTCAATTAATCCGATGATGAATATAATGCGGACAGCTGAGGAATGTAACGGAGCGATTCCGTAAAACCTCAAACAACAAATCAGTCCACGTCGGTTACGTGATTTTATTAAGGAGAGAGACGTCGTCCCCTCCTTGGTTTGTTTGAATCAAAACATAGGCGAGTTTGTCCGTTGAGTCTTCACTATATTTATATCAGGAAATAAAGCCGACACATGTTACACCCGTGAGGATTTCACGTAGTAGGCATTCATGATTGATGACTGTGTCAGTGTCACCGTCCCGACCAAGGCACACCATCCCTCCACGTTCGTTCACCACATGCCATTCATAAATATACACTCAAGGATCCAAACCAAAGGTACGCACGTACAATTGAATAATCATGGTGTATGTGTTCCGACACACTGCCAGATCAGTATAAATGATGCCCAACAAATAGACGGGAAAATATGATAACTCCACGTTTATACTATATCCGGCGCCTAATAATCTGGAGGATTAATAGGATATCATTAATAATTAACAAGCTGCTTGGTTGTTAATGTGGTTTTGAAGGTCTTGCGTCTCGTGTAAATCTGCACGTGAATTGAACTTCGCCAAACCCTCCACGGACATCGACCTTGACCTGTTGAGCCTCCTCACGATCCCACCCACATTCCCGGTTGGCATTGATCTCGACCTGGACACTCCATTGCTAGCTTCACTCGTCTCATTCTCCTGCTCCGCACCCCCCACGCTCGACACTTTCCCGTTCCTTCTGCTTCCCCCTCTCACTATTCTTCCCGCTTCCTCCCTCCTTTCGCCCAATTCCGCGTTATTCTCCTCTCGCCGCCTCAGACCCCTCCATATGGGGGTCGCCTCAACCCTCTTCCTCACCTGTTCCAGCCACTCCACTGCCTCCGACATCGACGGTCTCTTCTCCGCCGTCGACCTCACGCACTTCGCCGCCAACGTTCCCAGCTGCCTTATAATCGCCTTGTCTGATGGCCTCCCGATTCGCCGGTCACAGATTCCGAGGAATTCCCCGCGCTTTATCAACGGCACGGCCCAGTCCACCACGGAGGGCGGGCTGTAATTCAAATCGATGGCGTTCCTGCCGCTGATTATCTCCAGCAGCAGGATCCCAAAGCTGAACACGTCGCTCTTCGCGCTCACATCCCCCGGCGCCAGGTAGCACGGGTCCAGGTACCCCATCGTCCCAGCCGGTGGCGTGCATTTCACACGAACGTCCTCTACGTGTCCCCTCAGTGCCAGCCCGAAATCGCCCAGCCTCGCCTTCCCCTTCTCGTCGATCAGAACGTTGGACGACTTTATGTCCCGGTGGATCACCGGGGGATTAGAAGAGTGAAGCGCCAGCACAGCTTTTGCCACCTGCAGAGCGAAACGGACCCGCCGGCTCCAACCCGGCGGTCTGGTGGTGCAGTGCAGGGCGTCGTAGAGAGAACCGTTGAGCATATACTCAACGACAATTAACTGACTGCCGTTGGAATCGGTGCAAAATCCAATGAGGTTGACGAAGCGGCGAGGATTCCGAACCCGTGAGAGAATTTCGATCTCGTTCTCTGCGGGGCTTGTACAGTTAGCACAACCGGTACAGTTGGCGGAGTGGTTGCGGAGGTTGGTGACATGAGGCTTGGAGAACTTTGTTCTCTTGACGGCGGCGATAAGCTTGCCGTCGTCGAGGATAGCTTTGTAGACGCTGCCATGGCTGCCTTTGCCCAAGAAGCAGTCTGCGGAGAAGCCGCCGGTGGCTGCGAGGAGCTCGGAAAACTGAAACTTTCTGATGTCTACGAGCTTATGCACATTATGAGTTCTTCTTCTGGTTCTGTTGGACTTGGAAGCCTTCTTCTTGAGGTCCCAGTAGTGGGAATCACAGGTGGCGGCTGCAGATTCAGCATTGCAGGAGAGGAAGCCCATGATTACTGAGGTGGGTGGGCAGCGTCGTACGATAAAGGGAAGGGGTGGGGGAGGGGTGAGGGAGACATGACTGCTACGCCTACGGATGGGAGAGTTGAGAGGTTCGAAAGTCGTGAATAAATGATTTACAGCTTTGGGGAGGAAGATGGGAGTTGAATCAGAGTCGGGACGCCCGAGTCTTTTGAATTTTGCTTTCTCATAGTTTAATGTTTCCCACATGCAAAGCTGTGCTCACTTCTCGATCCGCCGTATTAATTTAATAAATAAATGAAACCAAGCTAGTGTTGGCCACCTATTCATTGAATCGGCAGTCCCTTTTCCTTTCCTTCTTTCTCCTTCATGCCCCCCCTCTTTTTCTCTTTATTTTGCAAACACCAGGCCTTCTTTTTCTTTTCTTTTCTTTTCTTCTTACTTTACATTAATTGAACTGAAGCATCATTTTCTCCGACCACACATGAAAAAATAATAATTTAAAAAATTCTCAAAAATTACACTCTTCTTTTTCAAGATTTTAAACCTACTAAAATGTAAAAAAAAATAATAAACAGAGTTGCATCACAAGGCTAAATAAAATATAGGAAGTTAAAAAAACTGCACATAATGTTATTCATAGCTTATAAGTAATATCAAACCTTTTTTTTTCCCTGCTTCATAGTAATTTGAAATGAAGCTTCGTTCACTGTCATCATGTGTAATTAATCTAGTTAAAAAATTACATGGCTACTATACATCCATTTAAAAAAGCAAGAGGAAGTGATGGGTGTGTCGTGACTCTCGCTTTTGACAAATCTTAATTAAAAAACCTAATCTTCATTGACTATTGTTTGAACCCGGATGCTCAAATTTGAAATCATGGGCAAATAAATGATTTGATATTGGCCCCTGTGCGTGATTCTCACAATGCCCGCCATTGAGATTACATATGGCAGGGACATCTCAATCAATCAATCTGCTTCCAGCATGGGCAAAGGAAGCTATCACAACCTAATTGGGCAAAGGAAGATAATTGCCTAATTATGGCTCCATATTATTGATCGCCACCCACGAACAGTATCTACGTGTCAATAGGTGAGCGAGCACTTTAACTCCATGCATAGATTGATTGAGGGTAAACACGAGGGTGGAAGAGAATCAGCCACGAAAAATAGAAAAATGACATCACCATAATATTTTATTACATAAGTAACTGGGAACAGCTCACCCATGATGCTTTCTTTCAGTGTAAAGTATAAATACAGAACCCAACTGGAGGGTAAAAGTATAACCCAGAGACAAAGAAAGAAGGGTATACTAGGATAGAGTGATGATAAATGAAGATAAAGCGGTTATATATAAAAGGTGGGGTCCATGAGGGGGTGTCACGAAAGTGAGTGGGGACGGAGAATCTACAGTGGCGTGGTTGGGTTAAAGAACAGAGGAGGGAGCAGAATCTGGTGGGTGCTTTCGTTTTGGAACTTTGAGCCTTATCTTCGCTTCTTCTTGTTGAATGTTGACTGTATGTGGAGGGTAGCACTTTGGATCTCTCACAGATCACTTAAGAGACTTTCCCAATATGCCATAGCCAGTGCGTCCAACAAGTTAGGTGCCCTCTGCGGCGAAGAAGCATCCTCAAAACCTGACGCTGTCCTTAGATTTTATTCTGGAAGCAACACTGGAAGCAACATCTCTATCTGTGGGTCGTTCATTTATTACATCAGCCACTAATGAATCCCTGTTTAAATATAATCCATCAAATTAAACCCACTTAATTATCCACTGCTTGCATATAGTGTAAAACGTGCCCGATTATGGCTGCATTATCCCATTATAAGTAATACTACATCCGATCCTAATTATAAGAGCTAGTTGACTAATTTAAAAAGATTAAGAAAAGAAGTTAAGTTAGTTATTTGTAATAAATATGTGTTGTCTTTCCTAAAATATCCTTGCTAATTAAATGTATTAACTGAAATTATCATTGTTAGAAGAACTACTTTGAAAAAAAAAAGTATAAATATGAGAGACAAAATGAATTGGGGTCGTATATTTAGAACTAGAATAAAAATCAAATAAGGTTTTATATTAAGGACCGGAGGTAGTATTATATACACACATATGGATGCTTGCTCTTGACTTCCTGTTGCTCCAGCTCCCCAGCCCATGACACTAACACGGATATTTACAAGTCCTCACTATAATGCTCGCATAATTTTCGATTTATGATATGACAACGTTACACTGTTAGTAATGCATCTCATGAACTTCGCCCTTTTAGGAATACGAGTGCTCATCACTGGAAATGATGATGAGTTCATCTGACCTCTCAAAACCCATGTAATTAACTGCATCAAACTTTTTCTGGAATTTAAAAGGACGCATAAAAACTTCTCAGATCGCGCTTGTTCGTGTGATGTTGACCGGCCCGTTGATCCGTCGAATTCAATGTGATTTGTTCACTTGGTTGTTCATAGTCTTCCATCCTTAAGGTAAGACTCGTTTAATTAGGTTAGTTATATTTAAAAAGTTAGTTAAATTAGTTAATTATAAAAAATATGATATATTTTTTTCTAAAATATCATAATCATCTTTCTTAATATCTTTTCATTTTCTACTTGATTGTGATTGGGGTTTTGAGAGGGTATCAACAGAGATAATTTAGAAAAAAATTAATAAATATAAAAAACAGGTTTTACATTTAGAATAAGAATTAACTCAATAATTATATCTTATTGTAAGGACCGGACGAATATTACACTAGGCCACAGAAAAACAAAAGGGCCGAATGGGATTAAACTAGGCGGAGCAAGACGACAGGTCATTTTCGCCTTAGCCACGAGTTTAAACTTTAAATATGTCAACAGCAGGTAACGCAGACTACGGTATTGGATGAATATGATTAAATTTTTTTTTTTTTTTTGGTCAAAGATGAATATGATTAAATTTAAATGCTTAAATTTGTTAATGAAAAACATAAACGAATTTAACAGAACTGCGAGTAGAACGCAGCTTTAAGGGCCTCAGTACCTCACGCTTTTCTTTTTATTGGGACTGAAAGGGGAAGTTAGTCGGTGAATCATCAAGAAATCTCATTTTGCTCACGTATCGCTCGACAAAAGCACCATTTTAGGAGTTATCATCAGAACACACAAAAAAGAAAGTGGGAATAGATGAAAATTAAGCATGAACTATGAGCACTAAGTTTATGGTCGGAGTCTAATCACAGGATGTTATGGCATTAACTTGGTCGGTTGGTGGTATCCTTTTATTTTGGTGCCATGGGATGAGTGGTGGAGGCTCCTGATTGGCCCTCACCATCTGTGCTGTCACTCTCATACGAAGAGGGCCCACATACAAAGAATTAATCTTAAGGGGTTATTTGGATGGAATTAAAATTCGTTTTAAAAGTGATTTTAAAGTATACAAGATAAATATGTAGAGGAGTTTATTTCGATATGTCGAAAAGTATTTTTAAAAAAGCATCTTTTTTAACCCCAAACATACACCTCCTAAATTAATAGTCTTAACAGGATACTGCAGGGAAGTTTACGAGGTTGATGTTGTTAAACTGAGTTTTTTTTTTAATACAAGTTAAACTAAGTTAGGGGGTGTTTGTAACACCTAGACATGTTTTTATAAAAATCCTTTTCTACAAAATAAAATAAAATTCTTCATATATTTATTTTATAAACTGTAAAAATGTTTTTAAAATTATAGGTTTGTTTCTATCTAAATGCTCTTTTGAAAAAAAAAAATAAAAAGAATGATTGCGTTTCAGGATCACGCCCTGATGAAGGAGGCTGTGATGCGGAACACTTGAAAGAGCAAAGGCTCGGCCCTCCAAGTGTACGTTGGGCTTGTCAGTTTCAAAGGCAGCGATAAAGGCCTTGGGGTAACACTTGAGGGACCAACAAAAGTTAGTCCAATTGGTAAAAAAATCAGCTCATAATTTATAAGGCTGTGAGTTTGAATCCCACTATTGACGTGAGAACTTTATTGGTGGGTGATCTGTAAGTACCTCTATAAGCGTTCTCTGAGCCTGGAGGCATGTCCTGGCCCTAATGAGTCCACAAGATCCAACTCACTTAAACTTTTCTATATTAAAAAAAAAAAACACTTGAAGGTGGGGCCAACCCACGTGTTGGCGTGGCAGGACATGACGGGACAGGACTTGATTCTAAATAAAACAGCATAAAACTATTAATAAACATGGGAGGAGCTATCAGGTCAAAGGTTGTGAGTTCGAATCCCGCTGTTGATGTGAGGACCTTGTTGGTAGGCGATCTGTAAGTACTATCTGAACGTGAAGGCATGTCCTGGCTCTGTTGAGCCCACATGACCCAACTCATTTAAACTTTTCTGTATAAAAAAAAAACACTTGAAGGTGGGGCCAACCAACGTGTTGGTGTGGCAGGACATGACCGGGCAGGACTTGATTCTAAATAAAACAGCGTAAAACTACTAATAAACATGGGAGGAGCTATCAGGTCAAAGGAAAAAAAACATAGGAGGAACTAGGAAGGAGGAAGGAATGTCCAGCACAGTCAACAACATAGCCTGAGCCTGCTCAGCTGTCTCCGCCTCTCAATAATGCCTTCCAATCAATGCATTTTCCTTCCCACAACACCCCCCCGCCCCTTCATTATTACGAATCCTACCAGCAGGCGTTACTCCCTTCCTAAATATCAACCCCGTCTACATTTGTTCGGGACATTTTGCCTCCATTCCAAGTATACTGCACTACATACTTCTTTTGCCATTTATTATAAGGTAGTTTTAAAAGGTGTTTTTGTTCATTCGTACACCTCATTCAGCACTTTTATAAAAAGTATTAAATATTTTTTTATATATACTCATATTTTTAATAAAAAAAGTGAGATAGTAAAGATTAATTAGATGTCGGAATTTTAAATAGTTAATCGAAGATAATATTAGAAATCACTTGAATTTTATAATAACTCTTATACTTTTTAATTATTCTTATTAGTATGCCTGATGCAAGGGAAAAAAATGAGAAGAATGTTTCCACTTAGCTTTCTCTCTATTTCCTCTCCACTTATTATCTCTGCCACTAGATCAACATTCAGTGGTTGAGATTTAACATATTATAGCAATATTATTGATCATAATATTGATTAATTAACAACTTAAATATATATTTAAGTTGTTAAGAATTAATTTGTATACATCGCTTTTGTTAGTTTTTATAATTATTGGATGTTGATGCAATGATAGAGAGAGGATAGGTGGAGAAGAAATGAAGATGGAACTATGTGATGATGGGGGAGAGAAGGAAAGTAATAGCAAGTGATTAAATAAATGAAGAAGGAAAATGAATGGGCGGAGAGATGTGTAAGCGGCTGGCCGCAGCGGCAGCGAGGCTATCATTTCACAGCTCACTCTTATTCCATCATCACAAGCGCCTCCTCACCAACAGCTCATTCCATTTCAATTCCCATCTCTTTTTTGTTCTTTTTTTTTTTCAAAGAAAAAGCCGTACTGTTTGTTGAATCCAAAGTCTTGCTTAAGTGTTTCCCGCATATTAATAAATCTCCACCAATATTCTCAACTTCAAACTTAGATGGAGGTTTGTTTCAAATTGTTGCCAAATTCTGCCGTGAGACGGTAAAAATTTTAATATAATTACTTATTGAATGCCTCTGTCATAGTCTTCCGGTGATTATTTTAATATAATTACTTTTTACCACTAAATTGTTCAGAAGGACAAATGTTTTCCCTTTTTGTTTGCGGATGCAAGGGCATGAGCATCTATTTAAGGAGATCAATCACACACGTAATTATGATAGTTCATATTTTCAATGACCTGATTCTGTCTTGTCTAAAACAAATTCTCCATCCAATAAAATGCTGCAAGTTGCAATTTCTCACAGTGACGGACAAGCTAAGTTGCTTCTACCTCAAATTTTGTTATTCATAAGATCTTAAATGTGAATATATCTCTCAATAAGTATTTAAATCTTAGACTCGACTCCTATTAATTTATTTGTTTCACAACAAAGTCAGATTTACTAATAAGGTTGAGTTTAGCGAAAGAGGCTGATTCCTTACAAAGCGGTAAACAAATGTCTGAATTTCTGTTGGGAGAGGTATTCACACTTAGTGCCAAACAGTATCTTGAACATGATTGCATTCAAGGATATGTGTTTATTTTAAAAAAAAAAAACACAAGCTAGAATTTTCACCTCATCAGAAAGCCGGGCCAATTAGGTCACGAGCTAACACTTGGGCTTCCTTCGATTGCCGTCACTCGTAAGCCAACCGCCTCATTTATAAATACTCATGATTTACCAACGGGAGTTGGGTGTAGTAAAAGGGGCTAGTCTCTCACAACTTAGCGAATCGAGATTTGACTCTTGGCTGGGAGAGGTGCCCATACTTAGCACCCGACAGTGCTTTGAATAGGATTATTTCCAATGGAAAGATACCTATGCTTTAGGAAAAAAAAACTCATGATTTATAGTCAAATCAGTTTTTAAGAGCTATTCGATAATTTATATTATATTCAAAATTGGTAATGCTCTAATATTTCGTCCACTGTAATTTTTACTATATCGATTTTTTTATTAATTATTAATCTATTATTATTATCTAATATTAATATGAATCTAATATAATAATTTAGAATTCGATTTCTATATTCATTATTCATTCTATTTGAATTTTTCATTTTTTAATATATTAATATTATTAATATTCAATATATTAATAGAAATATCAATATATTTAGATAACAGTAAACTAAGATAATGTAAAAAATTGGGAATGCTTCATTAAAATATTAGAAACGATAATTACTAATCTGAAACTAAAATATTGTTGAGAAATTAAAATTCAAGGCAAATGATGCAGCTGCCAAGTGATAACCAAAACGAGGACGAAACTAACCAGCACTATTTATGCAACACATACATACGTACTTAGATATATACTCCTCCGGTCTTTAATATAAGACCCATTTAATTAATTTGATTATATTAAGGAAGTTAGGTAAATTAGTTAATTATAAGAAAAATGACACATTTTTCCTAAAACACCATAATCATCTTTCTTAATACCCATCTCCCTCTTATACTTGATTATGGTTGGAAGAGTATCCATAGGGGTAATTTAGAGAAAATTAAAAAATATGAGAAATGGATTTTATATTTAGGACCAAAACCAACTCAAGAATTGGATCCTATATTAAGGACCGGAGGAGTACTTATTTAACAACTAGCGCACGAATAACCTTAACTCAAATTCCATGTATAATGAAAAAACATGGGAGCGCCGTGTCAAGTAGTAATTGAATTGTTGCACCTTTCCTTATGAGGTAATTAAGGTTGAAAGAGCTAAAAAACTCGCATCAATATACGCCGCGAAACCGGGGATTTTCTATTTGTTTTTGAAGCACCGATAAAAAAAAAAAACACGAAAAGCTAAATGGATCGTTTTATTTCAACATCCACTTTAATTTCCCAAGTCAACTTATTCTCCTCGACGAATCCATCCCTAGCCCTTCATAAAATGAGCTCCCCCCCCCCCCACACAACACGCGCGCGCACACACACGCATGTTTATTATTACCACGATATTGTTTCCTAGGAATCGGAGCAATCCCCACTGGGAACATCCAAATATTCTGAACAGGTAAAAGCATAATTAAGCATATATGGAGTCGTAACGACTGGCGTAAAGTTGAAGACTGATTGATTCTGCGTGTCGCCGTCGACCGAAATGAAGGGAAGGCCCAACGCCAAAAGGCCGAGTTAAAAGCGCGTACCGGATGCTTCCAGCGACTTCACGAAAACCCTCTCTGTGACTTTTTCCATGCAAAGACGTGTTTCCTGGGCAACCCTTGCTAACGCATACGTCCATTCCTTCGTTTTCCCTTCTCCCATCACTCTCTCTTCTTCACCCCTAAACCCCACACCTTAATTATTCCCCCATCACTCACTGATATGTATGTATATATGCTTGCCATATTTGCTATTTCGTCTGTGCTTTGCTTTCTCTCTTTTCCAATCGAGATGCCGTCTGATTCATACAAATACTGTAATTCTCACATTCGGTCCTACCTTCCCTTGCTACTTATGTTGACTTCCCAAGAGAAAACGCAAACATTTGGAGTTTATAATGGTTCTTTTCATTTCACTGTGTTTTCTGTACATTGTATCGGGAAAAAAGTAGAAGAGAGAAAAACCCACAAGAGAACAGAAATCAAGGCGCTTTTTCTTCTGTTTTTTTTTTTTCCTCTGATAAAAACTGGTTTTGATATTTAACTGATAACCTCGTCTAGAAGCTTATACCTCCTGACCTTGTTCCTGAAAACCTGTTTGGTGATCCCATTCTTATTTCTGGTGGACATCTCCTCCGATTTAGTCCTCCTCAGCCGTTCCTCTAAATCGCCATTCGTGATGATCCTCTTGCGGGTCGAAACCAATACAGGTGGCGACGTGGGTGGCGGCGATTTCACCTCCGGCGATCTCCGCTTATTGATGTCGGGTTTGATCAGTTGGATTGCCCTCTTGCTGCCAATTAACTGAGCGCCGTGATCAATACCGCTCTTGGTTTTCTTGTTCCGGCTCTCACCGGCGGCGTTGCCGCTGTTATCCTTAAAAGACGAAGAGGAATTAGAAGAATTGGGGGACTTGTCAGCGATTTGGTCGGTCTGAATCAGACACCAATTACAAGTAGCATAAGACCGGGCCTTGGGGTACAGATTACTGCAGTATCTGCAAAGATCAATAAATTAATTACTTAGAGACGAAGGGAAGAGAAGAAGATGCAGAATAGCGAGGGGACAATCAAAGGGGGGAAAAAGAAGGCGAAGGAATAAGGAAGGGAACCTGTGCTGAGATCTGAAATGGCAGAATTTGCACTGAAAGAGCTGATCAGAGAAGCCAGGATCACCGCACATGCAACACTCTGGGATGGCTGCGTCACCACTGCGCTCGATTGGCATGTTGTGGTGGTCGAGAGAGAGAGAGAGAGAGAGAGAGAGATAAATAGGGGGAATAGGAGTGAGAAGGATGGCCACAGAAAGTCGCAAAACACAAAAACCAAGTTGGAGAGTTGCGTGGGGGCATATATAAATACATGGGCTGGACTTTCCGTGTGGCTGTGTTGGCCAACTTTGTTTTTTAATACACACACTTTGCGATTTCGTGTTGCCTTTTTATAATAATCACAGCCACACCTTGCTACGTCCTTCCTTCCCTATCTGTCCCCTCTCCCTTTTTTTTTTTTTTGGGGGCGGTTGAAAAAGAGGTTTATTTATAAAGTATTAAAAAATGGGTCCCACTCATGGCACAGAGGGTGGTTTATCCTATTCGACTTATCGAGGGAGCCGAGAATGGTAGATGAAGAACGAAGGCTAGGCTGTATGGCTAGTGAAAGCGGAGCAGAATATTGGTTAGAGGGAATTAAGGAGAAGCCTATCGTCATTAAATATAATGGCGAGTGATTAAGAGTATCTCAAATGTGTATTGTGGGGGCCTTGTAAATACGCCACGTTTCAGAATTCACAATACAATTCTCCTTCTTCTTATCTTTATCCACCCTTGTTTTGTCTCCTCATCCTCATTCCCCCCTCGTGTTTTTCCCCCACTGACCTCTCAGCCCCAAACACCTATCCACTTTTCTTTTTAACCTGATTTTAACCTATTCTTTCCTGTTACGCCAGGGATGACGGCTTTGGTGACATGATTGGTTTTCGATTACAACAATCCGATTATAACAGAAAAATAGTAAGAAATAGTTATGATACTATATATTAATGTCAGTATATTGCGCAATGGTTAAATATATAAATATAATTAACCCTAACAGTTAAATACATCTCTCTCTGATGTCCTCCTCACTATTATTTTCTATTCATATACAATACCGCTGAGGGATAAAGAAGGCTGAAAAATCTACTCTCGATATATATATATATATATATATATATCACCTTAACATGCATGTGTCTGAAAGAGAGCGATGCATACAGTTAATATCATGAAGCGAGTCGAGAGGGGAGTTGCATACTTCTGCAACGCAAGTATTTTGGGAGAGTAACGATTCAATGATTGAAATATCGCTCACTTCCTCTCAATCCAACCCTCAGAGACTAATCTCTCGAGTTCCTTATTAAACGGCAGCTTCCCTTTTCATTAATCATCCAATCCTCAAAAGTTAGTTCCCTTCAATCGACATGGGAGCATTTGATTCTTGACAGATTTTATCTTCAAAAAAACCAAAGTAACAAGAGTGGACTATGTAGAGTTATGGAGGCCACAAGGGATAGCCCACTATTTGATTTGATTTGGTGATAACTACCATGAGGAGGCAATGGTAGTGCGTTAATCATAGTTGGGTTGATATTATCAGAGAGCGAGCGAGAGAGAAGAAGCACCTTGTAAACGTGCAAACGTGATTGAAGAATGGGTGCCACGAAGGAGGGGGTGAGCAGGCAGCACGTGCACTTTGCTTTTCTTAAGGTGCAATGAAACACAGCCACGTCAATATTGATAAGTCCGATGCCCCTTCCCGGACATCGCGTTCCTCCCCGCCACGCCTCCTCATCCTCCACTTTGCTGTGTATCTACTGCTACTTTGACTTGCATTTCTGCGCGTGATCCCTGCAAATAACTAATCACAAACTCAGCAGCAGTTTGGTATGTTACCAGTGAAAGATATCACGATTTCAAATATCATGACAAAAGATATATTGTTAATAATTTTTAGAAATACAGCAGAAGTAAACAAGACATGAGAAAACTGCTTCTAATCTTCAAGTTGTATGCGCCTGGCTGGCCTATTGAGATTCAAGACCAGCAGACACGTTCTCAGTGCTTATTTGGCATCACTTATATAACTACTTATAAGCATGTAAATCGAGACAAAACTCATTTCAGATACTTACCTTATATTGTGTAAATTACGGTTAAAAGTTGCATGTGGTCACCCATTCGTGGTATATTTGAGGAAGGAAGCATGAAAAAGAGAGAGATATATATGAAAACCCAAAAAGCATATTAACCTTCCTCAGCAGCTCAGCTTTCATGCTTTCATTGTTCCAAAATGACCTTTTGTCCTCGCATCAAAAGAAACCATAATATTTTTCTCAATTCAAACTACTAGTGGGAGTTCCACACAGAAAGCGTTTAAAAAAAATAAAATAAATCAGAAGTTCACAACTCATAAATATTTATGAATTATTAGTGTTTTTACTTTTCAGCTTTCTTTAAAAACTGTGAGGAATAAAAAATCAGACCGGACATTAAAACAGTTGAGGTGACAGTTCAAGAGTTTGCTAGTTACATTGGACCGAAATCAACTCGGAACCAAACCGATCATATTAAAATAATGTTACTTTAGTTCTTAATATAAAAGCTAATTGACTAATAGATTAAAAAACTAGTTAAGTTAATTATTTGTAATAAATAGATATTGTCTTTCTTAAATTATCATTTCTGATTAAGTACATTGCTTAGAACTATCATTATTACAAAAACTATTTTAGAAAAAAAACAGATAAATACAAGGAACAAAATGAATTGTGATCGTATATTTAGAACTAAAATAAAAATCAAACAGTCTCTTACATTAAAGACGAGGATAGTATAATTTAATTAAAAACAACAAAATTATAACAATAGCAAAATACAATAACATTGATAATTTTAATCTTTAATTAAAATTAATAATCATTGATATCAAAATTATCATTAAAATTCATTCAAATTTATAGTGACTAGATATTAAAAATTAAATAAGAAAAAATAACATCAATAACAACATAATCATTCAAACCAGTTGATCAATATTTCACCCAAGTTTGACCGGTTCAATACCAAACCAGACTAGACCGTTAGATGATTCACGGTTTTCAGATTGCATAATTTAGTTCGGTCTGACTTTTAATTCTTATTAGAAATAGGAATCACAAGGGGTGTGAAGCAGAGATTCCCCTGTTAAAATAGTAAGGCTAATATCTTTACAAGACATACCAATGAGAGTTTTTACGATTTTAGAAACTAAAAATAGTTTGTCTTTAAAAGTTAAAATAAATGAGGATATATTTACACGTATATCAAATTAATTTAAATACGATAAGGAGCAAGAGCTCGAGAAGTCTTGGCGACGTGAACCATAATTATCCGCTCACATCCTCGTTTAATAATTTCCAAAACCACTTCTTTAAACTCGTTCCATATACAAAGCTTTACATTTTACAATACCGAGACCGCCTCATACCATACCCAAAAAAACAAAAAAAACATAAACATCAGCAGCCATTATAGCGAATAACTTTATACAACAAAAAATTATAAAAAGAATAATGTACTGGGAAATTAATCCGGAACACAGCCATAATTTATTCTCAATCCTAAATCCCATTTTGTTGGTCCCTTAAATTGCATGGCATAGTTGGATTGGAGCTCATTCTGCAGCTGATCGCCTCTTATCTCCCATCTGTGTTGGATATCCATACGACATATCAGCATCGCTCCGTTTACACATGTACTAAGATAATGTTTCCGCTTGGTCAGATGAAAAAATTAAAAGAAAAAAACACATGGAGGCAAGAAGGTTTGGGCTAACAAAGCTGTTAGGAAGCAGAGGCCCACGATTAGTTTCTCCACAACAGGGCATTATTAGCTTCAGATGGATAATATTTCAATTTGGTCAGAAGAAAAAATCAGCTATTTTAGTATTTTACATTACATCACGTGCAAGAAAAGAAAGTTGCAGGACTTACCAGCGGGTTGAGTTATTAGCTTTGGGCACATTCAAATGGACGCAATCGCAGTGATCCTTCAGGAAAATCCTGCATTCTAAAGGGCTCTAAAAGCTCAAATGGTCTGCAACACACAATGATTTTGTAGATGCATTATAACCTGATCAGATTGTGCCCCGTGAGGGTCATAGAAACATCGGGGGATAGGAGAGCTTGTAACTCTTATTTGTTTAGTGTAAATAGAGTTCTGTCACTAGGCTGTCATTTTTTCGGTTATTGAAGGACTCTAGCTATCACTGGTATCTATATCAAGATTCAGCGTCTGTCCACAATAGATTTGTTAAAATGACAGTAATACTCTGCCCAGCATTATGCATTTGATTCTTCACTAAATTATCATATTATATAATGCGATAAATGACATTGCTAGCAACTTTACGCCACTATAACAAAAATTATTGTGTAAAATTTTTATTTGCACATCTGTCAACAACCTTCTTTGGTGAACTTACAATTAATTTAAACATTTCTACTTGTTGCATTGATAAGTGGATTACACTCATTTATAAACCATGACATTTAAAATTCACGGTAAAGTCAATTAAACATGACATTCTTTCTAATAAAAAAGTCTTAATTTATTTGTTCGCAACAATAGATAGAAGCAATATTTTTAAACTATAAATGATCATTCTACTAAAGTTTTATTCATTCAGAATAAAAGTTAGTAAAGCAGATCGACATGCATGCTAGTACCTGGAAAACCACTAACCATTAATATTCCTATACCAAACAGAAGATTCAGTGAGCCTTACAGGATGGAATCACGGTTACGCCGTAATTTTCTTTGATTGTTCTCCATAGCAGCCAACACGTCAGCAGTTTCTGGTCCAGCCGACCCACCAGCCACGGGAGACGAAACAGGAGAATTTGGAGTCCATATCTATAACAGTGGACTGCCATCAGTTTCAGAGATCAATAAAGTCAACCAAAAACATAACATTCATCATAGAACCATCATTCTCACCTTGATAGTACTATCAATACCACTGGTTGCCACAACAAAATCATATGGATGGCACTGAACACAATTTACAACTGTTGCAAGGACAAAACAAATTATCTCAGAGAAGAAGAGTGCTAATATCCCAAAACTTTCAGTAAGGAAAACAAAATTACCAGCTGCATCACCGTTGAGCATTTTTATGAGTCTACCAGTCTTCTTTTCCCAAATGAACCATCTTCCATCATCGCTTCCACTGGCAACATATTCACCTAAAAATAAACAAGGAAAAAAAATCATGCATAAAAACTGAAACTCTGACAGCTGGCATTCAACTCAATTTTATCACTTGAAAAGATGCTACAATCACATGAGCTCAGGTCAATCATATGTCATATTGCTACTATAGGAAAATACATCAAGCATAGTAAAAGAAAATTCTTTCCAGTACAACTATACATTTCTTACAGAACTTCAACAAGACAACATTACCATGGAACAGAATTATTGAAACAGAAAAGAGAAGAAACAGTTTTCCTATCTTTACAACGTGTTTAGCATTAAATTAACGATAGAAACCTTCCCATAAGCAATCCTCACTTTCATAAATAAATTACAAGTGAACATACCTCTTTGACCAAGAAAATTCGCCTGTTTTATATCAGTTCCAACATTACAGTGACCAACAAATCTTTGCTTCATATCAACAGCTGCTTCAGGCTGATTTATTAACAAAGAGTGAAAAAATGAGCGAGGATAGGAAGTAATTTGTAGAGTTAAAGAAAAAGGAGAAATAGAAGCAGCGAAATGTCAGAATAACAGCATCTATATGAAGCAACTGAATGGTCTTACAAATGAAACCTATATCTAAAGCCCAATTAAAATGTCTTAGGTTCTAAAAGTCTTTGCAACCTGAAGTTTGATCTGTTCTTTCCTTCCCACAGAACATTTCAATGGAAGACTGTTGTGTTCTGAAAATCTAAGTTCAGATCTCTCAACTAAGGGAGTAGATTGAGGCCGCCAATTAGAAAAGATAAAAGAGTTGAAAGGGCGGGTCAATTTCACAAGTTGTCATTTTCTCTGCTACTGCACTCGGGGCAATACTGAAGAGAGTCTACTCTCCAAAACAGAAAGAAATGAATCAAAATGAATTTTTTCCTTAAAAAGCTATTGAACCCACCATTAAACCCATGGGTCAAAAGAGAACGGCACTTTTCAAAGAACTCGTTGATGATAAAGCAATAATCAGTTTAAAATGGAGGGCATGAACATATAAACCTGATAAGATGCTCTATCATTCTGTGCTGATGACGACGAGGGTGATTCACATGAGCCATTTACACCAGCATTTTCTCTTGAGTCACCTCTTCGGTGGATTCTAAGATTTAAACTCCCATGAAGAACATTGGATTCAACATCACGCCCCTCATCACCTGACATTGATGTTTCAAAGTCCAAGTCCAATTCCTCATCATAATCAGAATCATCTCTCTCAGATCTTGGACCATCTTGTGAAGCATCACTATTAACTTCTGCTCGATAGAGTATGTCACTCAATGATAATATTCTTCCTCCTCGACCTTCAAACCTTGATGCTCCATCATTTGTCTTGTTATTTTTTTCAGCTTCAGCTGGTAAAATCAGATCCACAAATGATCAAAATAAAGCAAGCAATGTTACCTAGTATTTTAAAAAAGTAAAAAGAATCCTTCAACAAATAGAGGATTATGTTTCAGTAAGCTTCATGCATAATAGTTGTCCACAGCACAACCTTCAAGGGATCATGGTGCACTGGTGTAATGGATTGGACAACATTCTCATGTTTTTTTTTTTTTTTTTGATATAGTTATCTGATCTTCAAAACTACGAAGTCATATTGAACTCAAGTAGTCGGAGCCACCTAAGGATAGCTCTTCCAATATGATTTTTTTCCACTTAAGGTTCAAAACTTGATCTTGTTTAGAAGGAAGAGTCCCTTTCATTTGACTTAACTGTTGTTGGTTGGACTAGACAACATTGACACAACACAACCATCATGCTTTTACATCTTTCACACATACAATTAAATAAAAGTAATGTAAACTTAAAACTTAGACACATAACTCAGTAGCTTTAATAGTTATTCAGAATTCAAATGCGTCAAAACAATTTGAAGTTTACGAGTCAAAGGATCTACGTAGTATAAATAGATCTAAATGTTATCCTCTCAAAAGCAAGGGCATAGTTTTCAGAGAACAAATATAATCATATTCTAATCCCTCAAAACTTCTCGTTTTCAGATAGTTTTTGCATACTCTTCATCAATAAGACAGTGAGGAGAATGCTACTGCTTCCTTCTGGCATTAGAATTGTCAAGGTCCACCTGAATAGCACACAAAAATGGATGGAAAGGACACTTCAGACCTCAATTCCACTACATTTAGCTGCATCATCCTGAATCAAATCATTAATTTTAGATACACCATCTTTGCATCCAATTTTTCTTCCAACTCGTCAACAAACTTCTCATTGCTATTACCTTCTGACAAGGTGGGATCAACAGCCATGACCAATGTATGTTCTCAATCTTAATACCTGGACCTAATGCTCAGAGGCTGCTGAAAGTGTCTCAATGTGCTCAGGTATTGTCCCCCTTACAAATGCAGGAAGCTGATTTACATTTTACATGATTGCATGTGGCACGAAATGGTAATGGATAGCTCTACGAATTCTGTGCACTACATGGGCACCTTTATTTGCACAATATCACTAAAGCTTGATGCGAAACATCTTTCCTTTTCGTGCCAGGGGTCAATCAAACTTCACCACCAACTAAGTGTAGAATTGAGAAATCAACAACTTTGCATGCATGGGAAAAACATCGTGGTTGTAGAGTGAAATTTGGGGTAAAGTTCTTTATGATTACAGTACACATGCAAGACAATCTGAGCCACACCTGAAGCTATATCCTTCTTTACATTCTCCACTCTTTCTGCAACTTCTGGTGCTGATGGAGCCAACGAGTGAGCAGCAACAGCGAAATCCAAAGCTTCTTTATGTCTACCCAACTGACATTAAATAACATCAGGAGCTGATTATAATGCGTTCTTGAACTAAAAGGAGATTTACAGTTCAAAAAGCAAGCTCGATAAAAAGTTATGAATAGACTAAAAAATCTATTCAAATAAAATTAAGGTCATCAGCATTTTGAACAAGTCTACTTCTGGATATCACTGACTATTCCACCGCTACCTTAAGCCTTGTATCTATTTATTCATATGATCCAATCAATAAAATTTACAAGAGCTAAGAGTTCATACATGGCGACTCTAGCCTTTACAGAAACACATCTCTGAAAATAACATCGATATTTTCTGATATGCATTAAATTTCAATTTGTTGAGTCGTCCATTTGGCTTCTCAATAAAAGAACCAGATGCTAGCATCTAATTTAAACAGAATCATTCATCTTCAATTATATAACTCCACTGCCATGCCATATTTTAGTAGGAAGCTTAATATGCAGAGACAATCTGGGCATATCATATTAGAGATTCAAACTAGAACTGGTCCAAAACTGCAGTTACATACAACCACATTACCTGCGACAATGCTTCTGAAGCACTGTAAAGAGCTCTATAGGATGAATTATTGATTTTTCTTGCATTATAGCAGTCCCTTAAGGCCATATGAGCATCGTTTTTCCATTTCCGCTGGATGGTGAAGAAAATTATGAAAAATTATACATTATGAAGTTTATAGAAAAATAAATTTATGTAAGAAATTTGGGGGAAAACTAAAAGACATGATACAGCTTCTCAGTAAAAGAACCTTCAGCAACAATGCAGCACGAATACACAGGCATTGATGTTTGAGTGCAGGCCCAACAATATCACCATAGCCATCCAAAACTTCATTACATGCTTCGATTCCATAATAAGATTTCTCTTCCTCCAAGGATCGCTTGGCCAATTCAATTAGTTCCCTGCACTTGTCAAGCTGAAACCCCCAATTACTCAATGCTGGAGACCAAAGTAGCATCATATGCCTAAATCTCACATTGATTAAGATACTTTATAAGGTATTTAAGTAGACTGGTTCTCCCCTTTCAAAAGCTAGCTTTTAGAGGAAGGGCAAATCCTACTCAAGTTCCCATCAATTGGCTTAAACTTGGTGGTTGGCAGTTTCAAAAGGGCTACTCGCAGAGAGCCCCAACCAGCAAGGAAGCTGATGGAAGTGTCACCCAGTAAAGCATCTTAAAGTGTAGCCATCACGATGTTAACTCTCTAGATGGGCCAATTGAGGGAAACCAATGGCTAACATAAGTGAGTTGGTTCTCCTAATAAAGGAACATTTACGGAGAATTCCCCATACCATTTGAGTGCCTATCACTTAACCAACGAAGTACAATGCAAAAAATAAAAAATAAAAAATTACAGCAAAGTATTCTCATTTAGATAATTCTCATCCAAATTTCATTCTAAACATTTCCCTTGAATTAATCAGACAAGCATGTACCGGATACCTGTGCTGCAACTTTCTTTTTAATGGTACAACCATTTGGGAAGACAGGATGCTGCAATTCCATCCCATCAATTGTTGCAGAATAATTCATTAGCTTCAAATTATCTCCTGAAGTATATTGCATAGCATTCTCTCCGGCTGCATATTATGGTGGCAAGTTATGAACAACTTGTATATTCTAAAAACAAAAAAGGAAAGCTAGCAGAGTGGAATTCATTATTATAACAATCACGTCGGGTATAACATAAACATATCAGCTCATCACAGGAAGCCAAACTGCAGGGGTAAAAATAAATGCATAGAAGACAAGGTTTTGAGAAGAGGATTTTAATTTATGGTATTCTCATGGAGGTCTCAAAATGATATAATCATACTCTAATTCCTCAAAAATGAAAACAAGCTCCCGATTCAAATTTGTTCAGCAACTAACTAACCTACAGTAATACTACGTAGCATTTCCATTCCATTTATGACCTTATATGTAACTTAAAAACACCATGCAAGAGTGGTTTATTCCCCTAGTCCATGGCAACAAACAGAAATCATATGTAGCATTCAGTAATATGCTTTCACATGAAACACTTATACTGTATTTAACATTTAATTAAACAAGAGTTTAAGGCAAACCGCTATACCATGATTTACATTCATTAGGTAAACATGCTCTCCGCTATAGCTGAGGAGAACCTCATCTCCATTGGGACTGAATGCAACATGAGTTAGGTGCAAGCTTGGATGTCCCTAGAAGAAAGGAGACACAAGTTGATCTACACCATTGCTTTTAGCTTAAAGTAGCAAAATGACTTACCAGCGCATAACATGTCAAGGAAGATATTAGATGACAAGATATGATAAATCAAGTTCCATATATAACATATCTATTAAGACAATAAAAAGATGTATATCACTTAAATACCAGAAAAGCTAATGACAATGCTTATATGTAAAATGAGATCCACTACTAACAACACTTCAGGCAAGTATTACACTGTGATCATCAACAAAATTTAACCACATGCATAGTGAAAAGGATAAAAGAAATCTCCAATTTATTGCTTTGGTCTGCATGAGCGATAAGACATGCACAGAAAAGAAGATCCTCTCCCCACCAATCATGACCCAAAAGAAAAGGCACATCACAAGGGGCCAGAAAAATCTAACGAAGATCAGTACTTCAATATGTCAACTAGAGAGCATTCTGTCCCAATAAATGTATACTGGAAAAATAATATCAATTACAAAGTACAGGAACTATTTTATAAAACCAATGCTGGAAACACGGGTAAGAAATCAGGGAACCAACTAACTAACACTATCAGAAAGATGCATTGGGCAGAAATAATTGACGCAAGGAGGTGGTGACATTCTCTTCGTGCAGAAGCTGAGAGGTGGTAGCATTCTTCTATCATATAGACGTGCAAAGGCATCACTGCAAGCAACAAAGAAATAGAGACCAGTTTGAAATATAGAAATGGGGCTAAACTAACAAGAAAAACAAAAATCACCAGAAGCTTCACCTCCCACCAACAAGGAGCAAATGTGGCCTAGTAGAGCTAATATCGCAAGATTTTAGAGCAAGGACTTGTTTAGGAGGATCACCTAGTGACCTTTTGGCTCCACAACGTAAGTCAAGCTGACATCAAGCATTAAAAAACATTGGTTAAACAACTTCCAAGGATTTCTTATGTTCAGTGAAAAATGAAAAGCCAAAGAACTACATTCTACTACTCTTCACAAACTTTTAGTGACTTGAGACCCTAACTATCATCTGTCTAATAGCACAATTTAAATTAAAAAAGATTGGCGAAACGGCAAAATGAGAAAATCATAAAACTGAACGCAGAAACCTGTGAGCTCAAGTATTGAACTGCTCTTGAAGTTCTCATTATTGATTTCCAAACTAATTATTAGTCATGGTTCCCAAGTGCACATGTAGTGTAATTACGCGCATACAGAAACAACTGGAACCACTTCAACTTGAAAGCCTAAGCTATTATGTGAAAGTCCATTAATAGTTTTATCATAACCTCTATAATGTGTCTCACAAAAGACCTCCTTAGGTTTCAAAAGTGAACAAAGCACCTCATCATACTTTGTGTTGAAACTTAATTTTTAACCAAGAGATGGGGCAAGCAAGGATCATTGAAATTTTAACCATTTAGTCATACAGGCTCCATTACCAATTGAAGAACTACTTCAAGTCAAAAACTTGAGCAATTAAATAAAGGCACATAAATAGTTCTAATATAATCCTTTACATAACCAATAACTCATGATAATTTGACCCACAAGGAGATGAATGGGTTGAATAAACATTCAAATTATGAGTTCGCATTACTTTCCCATGCAAGAGCGACTTACCAAATCATCAGTTGACAAAATGTACAATGTGCAAGTGGCAAAACAAACAGTTGCCAGCATAAGATTATGCCTAAGAAAGGTTCTACTTCTGATGGATTCCTCCAACCTTCAGCCACAATGTCATTCTAAGGTTAACAAAAATATGATTGGCATACCTCAAAAAACCAACAGGTGAGGCAACCTGCAGAATTAGCTACTCAAACCATTCTCTGAGGATACTTTAATTGCCATTTGAGCTCAATTAGTCAGATCAACACATCTTGATAGCAAATAAACCAATTTACAAGCGAAACAACTCTAGTTTTCATTGACAATTTCAGATGTTATACATGATGCGGGAACTCCTTTTCTAAATAGTGACTCTCTTACTCTAGCACAGACTGACGAATATATTACTAGATAATATCAGATATTTCAACCAAGAATCCACCTGTTCATATGGTATTGGAGATCGAGTTGCATTTTTTCAAAAAAAAAAGAGAGAGAGAGAAAAGGAAGGGTTGCTTAAAACTGAATTAAACAACTTACCAGAACACTACGGCACTCTTGGTGAGAAGATCCCGCTGGAGTACAAGACATGCCTTCCCGAAAGTCATGCTGTCTCAGAGTACCATCCTCGCTGGCACTCCATACCACATTTGGGTTTCCATTTTCAACCTACAATAGAAGGAGCACAGAAGACATGAGAACTCAAAGGAATCAGATCAGCATTAATATTTCGACAAATGTTATATTTAATTTCCTTTGCCCCGTTTACGGATCACATTGAAATCAGGCTATTTAAGGATATTTTTAGCCCACAGGACATAGGCTAAATTTCCTTAACCTCCATTTATGTATCATATTGAAACTATGCTATTTCAAGAATTTTTAAGCCACAAGACTTACAGCCAACTTCTTGACTCTTCTAGCGTGACATTGGTAAACTGCTAATGGTGTAACGGCATTATCTCCTCTATCACTCAAGCGAGTTAAATTAAATAACCGAACCTGCCAAAATAAAATATGAATATAAGAATTTAGATGGCATAAACCACAGAGATTTAAAATATCACAACATTACTTCAGCATCTCCAGCTCCAGACACCACAAGCTCATCAGAAGTTTCAGGTACAAACTTAGTACAGAATATATTTGCAGAATGTCCAGTGTCAATTGAATGCAAAAGCTTTCGACCTGCGTAGCTCCAAATATTGATCTGCAAGATTTCACACAAATGTTCAATGCCTACTGCGCCAAAGACAAAACTAACTTGTTTGGGGAAACATAAAGATAGCATCATTTGCTTTACTACCCTATTTACTTCAAATTATAATACAAATTATATTAGCCTATTTATTTCGACATCCATATCTCTATAGAATGAGTCCACCAAACAACTTATGAATTATTTCAAATTATAGTACACATTAGACAATTGCAGCCTCTCCCCCACTATTAATTTATCTTCACTACAAAAAGCTCAATCATTTATTAACTTCATTTTTCCTTGAATAGCTTCTTCACTTCACTTAGTTGACAAAAAAGGAAGTAAAAGAAAAAGAAGAAAGAACATAAGGGGAGAAAAAGAAACTGCTCTGAAAAATGAAACATGCTCATAAGGTGTGAGCACATGAAACATGCATTTGGAAACAGGTAGGAGATATAAGAATCCCTTGTACCAAGCAAAAGCGAATTCAAAGGTTTAGGGTCCGTCAATCATGGAGAAACAACAAAAATAAATAATGTGATATATCAAAATGCTGCGCGGTAATAAAGTTGTAAACCAAGTCACTCCTCCCTTCTCTTGTTTCAAGTTCTCTCTGTCCATACATTTTCTCCTTTTTTTCTTTTAGCACGGGGAAGGTGGTTGAGGGTATTCCGACAGGGCCTGAAGCACATCTGGATGCATGTTGTTGAACTCATACAGATACAAGTCACACCTCATGCCCTCCTAAAGGGAATAAATCTATTTAGTATGTTTTCTATTAAAATATGATTTGTCTATCGCAGAGAAGATTGCAAAATTTCAAGAATTTATGGCACAATATGTATCTAGTATTACTTTCTTTCTTTTTTTAAGCTAGAGTCATGTACATGTGATTAAGTACAGATGACAATAGAAAACATTTTACCGTACCCGCGTGTCATCTGATCCAGATATCAATCGTGAACCAGTGGAATTCCAAGCCACTGCATTAACACAACCGCGATGGCCCTGTTTGAATCATAAGAAAATAAATTTCCAGTACACTAAATCAACCCCAAAAAAATAGCTAATCACATGTTCTAAAAAGCCACAAGCACTGGTAGAGAGTCAGTGATAGAAAAAGTGTTTCATATTTTGATATAGGCTTCTGAAGATACGGTGCTGCTTCATCAGTTCATCTCCCTTTATACAGAGCCAGTTCAATGATATGCATCTCACTTCCAAGTACCAAGTACCAACTGTATCACTTATATTATCCATAGATGATAAATAATATATTGATGGAATCTTCCCAGGAAAATTTTCGTTCCATTATATCCCAGTAGAACAAGCATCAAGCCAACCTCTAATTCTCTTTCTTGAGAAAGCCTTCGAATCAATGAGGAGTGCATCTGCAGCCTATGATTAACATCCTAAATCAACAATAAAAACAATTTCTTAGAACAGCCACAGTCAAGATCATACATGCCAAAACACATCATCACATAGCATGATCAGTGAAAGTAATCACAAACAGCAAGGATTCATTGCCTGAACAAGTCATTCTGAAGCTCTATTATTCGATCTTAAAATTGTACATGGCTATCAGGACAGCAGTCGACACATAAAGCGGTCGGATCTCGCGCCTCAAGTTTCAAAAGAAACAGAGATAAAATTATATACCGTTCCTAACCCTATAAGACATTCCCTTACGAGTTAAATGGTTCATTAAAACCCCAGAAATATGGGCATTCACGTCCATCACAGATAGCCTTCTAAGTGCATTTCCTTCGCTTTTGTAAGCCTACCAAACCCTGACCCTGAATCAATCATGTGCATGTCACTTCACTACCTCAAACGTTTCTTCTTCAACAAAATCCACTGAATTTCCCAGCGGCATCTCGACAAAAAGTTAAAAGCGAAATTTCTACTTTCTGTTTTCCAGGAAAATTAAGAAAAGCAACACAATCGTCGATATTCTTGACGCCGCTTAGTTTAAGCCGGACACTCACTCCACTTACTATTCCGTTCCTTTACCTCTAACCCTCAAACAACAAAGAGACATGCAAGTTCTGATAAGCTTCGACCGAATTAATCCACGCATACAAATTTATCATCCGCTAGATTGTAAATTAAAAATTCCGTGCTAATTTCTAGCTCAAAAGTACTTGCAGAATTTAGAAAATATATTGAAGAGGGGAAAATACTAGACGGTTATCGAGGCTTCGAGTCTCGAGCAAATTGAATATGTTGCCGTCGTGATAAGGAGTCCAGTCCATTGCCATAGCTTTGAGAAATCACAGAAAATGAAACCAACTCGATCGACTCGAATATCGCAGTTATCAATTGCCGCAAAGGCGACTATAATCCGCCCATCAGCTCATTGCTCCTTCGTTTTCTTTTTCTGATTAATAGTAGTAGTTTTTACAATTGTCGCCACTTCTCTTTATACAAGTTATTTGCCTCGTGAGTGTGCCGGAGTGGAGGGGTGTAGAAACTTGCAGAAATCCTCTTTTTCAACAGAAAATATGAAGAAATTTACAGGCCAAGCAAAAACCTTCCAAAAAAAAAATTTATAATTGGCGTGGCAACACAGTTAACGAGCTATGTTAATATACGACGAAGAGTGCACCAGTGGCGGTGTTGCGGGATATCTAAGCGTCGTTCGTCCCCTTGCACGCTTGATTTCACGCAAGGCTTTGGCATTTAAATTTTTAAATAAATATTTAATTTGAGAAATATATAATTTATGACATTAAAAAAAAATTAATCGATATACATAAATTTATTTGATATTATATGAATATTATTTAATGGTTCTTTGAGAATGATATTTATGTCTATATTTAATATACTTTTGTCCACCCAAAATAGTATAAATATAGAATATTAATAAAATTAACAACAAGATTTTGTCATAAAATAATAAATAAAAAATAATTTTATTGTCTATTTTTTTACCAGAAATTTTATTTTCTCACTAAAAACATGATTTATATATATAAATAACTTTTCTTTTCAATCATGCAAAATAAATTTATTTGTATGAATGTTACTTTTTCTATAATTAGTAGTTTTATTATCAGAATAAAACATAAAATAAAATAATTTTATGATATCATTGATTCCCGGTATTCAATCAACAATTTAAATGAAGTAAAACGAGCAAGCGATCGAAATTAGGGAAAACGTGACAATAGCATCATGCCATGGGCAAGATTTCCTCCATTTGGGTTTGAGGTTTTTTTTTTTTTTTTAACTTGACCAAAACATTTAGATTCAATATGGGTGGTTGAAATGAAAGAGTGCAATAGGGGTCAATCGTAAATTGGCAAGATTTAACATCGGAGTTTTTTTTTTTTTTTGATACAACATCGGAGCTATTTATTTTCATCCAAAAAGATGTTGATGTTATTTTTTATTGGATAAAAAATTACTTGTGTTTCTGTCATCCTGAAAGATTCTGGACTGGCCCAGACGAACGTTATTGATTCACGGGTGAAAGTTGGGCCAAAAGTCTAGCCTGCTAGACCATTCAGGTTGGGTCAACTGCCAACTATATATGGTTCTTGGCCCAATATGAAAAACGAGATCAATCTGCCGCTCCAATCATAGCGAGGGAAACGATTTGGACTGGCCATTGATGTATAGTTCATTTTTATTTTTTGATGACGCTGTCCTATTCTTCCATGACAACAGCAGCAGAACATGCTTTCGCCCAAAGAAATAACAGCAGAATAAATCTGAAAGAGAGTAGCAGAATATGTGCAATATTTTTCAAGAGCTATAACGTAAATATCATGTATAACGCAAAATCTGATAAACGAATCGTCGCAAGTCTTTGGAGCTAATTCGATGCCATAGAAGATGCTCCATACTTCCGCTTCAATAGCGTTACATCCCTCTCGTCCCCTTCTAGTCATTTGACTCCGATCCTTTGCCACTGAGAATAGAACCCTTTTTTTTCATTTTGATCTCCACTGAGCATAATTCATAGCGTCATTCATTATAAATCTTGTTTTTGAGACCCCAAAAAAAAAAAAGATGTATAAAATTACCAGACATTACTGCAGATGGGATAATCAAAGATACAAACACTGTACAAGATTCTTTACGCTGCTTGATGCTTTCTCATCCAAACATGTAGGCCTGTGCCCCTCTATGCCACACATACGCACCACTTTCTCTGCCCTAATAATTCAACTCTGTGGCCCCCCCACAGCCATCTCCCTTGTATGAGAAAGAGATAACCCTTTTCATCCGCATACCAATCATCCATCTCAAATTGTTATATAGAGTAAAATGGAATAACAAAAGAAAAGCACATCGCTTTCTCCTATCATAAATGCGGGCATGCGACGTAACTACACAGGCTAAAAGACAACAGTAACACCAGCCATACAATGCACTGCATCCAACCAACATCATCAGTCCTCACAACAAACAACAGACCCCCATCTTAATAAAAATTCATCACAACATCAAATACAACAAGAGCAAACACAAGTACCAGTGTTACCCAAAGGCGAGTTACAGATCACGAAAGTGGACACTTTGTGGATTGGGGGGGGGGGCCTCCTCAAGTTGCATCATAAAAGGGGCGAGGGGCTTAGCTAGTGAGAATTAGTACATCAGAGAAAAGGTAAACCCACAAGGGATTAAACATGACAAGAGTACAAAAAGGGGGGAGTAAGACTGGGTCCCATATCGACCAAGAGGCGTGCGCTCCCATTTTTGGGGTCCTTTTCTGAAAATAATCAGTCTTCTCATTCAAAACAGCTCATATCCCACGCCCTTGTGTGAGTGCCACTACTTTCTCTAAACCCTAAGACATGGACTAATGATTCACATTTCCTTTATTGTGCCATAATATGCTCAGCACCTCCCCTTTCCTTTACACACTACATACATAAATTACACCGCCCAAACCACCGCCAGATTTCTAACTCTCAATCAATGAGGAAAAGGCTTCAGGAGTGGAGCTCACACCCTCGTTCAGTTCCCTTACAATATTCGATTCACGCTTCACATCTCCTGCGCTCAGTGCAAACTCCAGACATATCCCACTTGTTTATTCTACAGACTCCGACAACTAACACTTGACCAGGACAGATCATCTAATGGTAATATGCCACTTATACAAGTGGCTAAAAATCCTTCAACTTACGAGTCATGGAGTCCTAGAGCTCTAGCCTTGCGTTTTAGTAACTTCAGGCAATGTATTGCTTCATCAAGAAGCCTAACTGGATCCCTTTCTTTTCCACCAGGAATTACGGTTTGCAGAACGTTTAGAACATCCCGTATCCTCTCTTTCCTCATCTTCTTGTCTGATCCTTCACTGCTGCCACTGGAACATCTTGATTCAGCATCATATCCATTATCAAAGGATCTATTCAAATTCAGAGAACTGGCACTGTCCATGAATTGTAGGTCATCATGAGCCCCATCGTCTGACAGCTTCCGCTTCTTTGTTTTCCCAGCAGAGCTACCAACTCCTTCATTGCTTCCGCAAAAGAAGTCTTGGTCATCATGAGTGGTCATTATACTAGGCGAATGCCCTGTGCTGGTAACTTCATCATCCTCAGTGGAGTAACCATCACTATCAGAGTAAAGTAACGCATTGATTTCTTCTGTGTCTTCATGCATCTCACTTTGGGCCTCAGTTCCCTGATTTTTATCAACTTTACCGGTCAAAGTCGGTCCATTAAGATTATTCAAATCTCTTCTAAAAGAAGGTTCATTCCCATTCAAACAGTCAGGACCATGCATCCTTGAAGGCCAAGAAGCAAGGCACTCAATGGGCCTTCCAAACCCAGAACTATATACCATTGTCGTCTGATTGACAGTCTGGTCAATAACGATGAACTGCTTCTTAGGGAAGCCCAGTATCCCATTGGGTGCAATTCCCTCCCTAACAACTTTCTGGCCAGCAGGGAGCTTGCTCTCCAGAGCAATGTTCGGAGCAGGCATGAATGCCTGTCGAAAGGGAGGTGAACCATAGTACCAACCACAAGGCTCATTAGACTGTCCTAACTGCGAATGTGGTAGCATGGGGGATGCATAGTCTGGAATTGTATAATTTTCAGACGTCATATATATGCCAGGGTTCATAAATGCAGAAACATTTTGCTTCCCCGCATCAAGGTTAGCGCCAAAGGAACTCAAATTGGGTGATTGCTGATCAAAATGCAGCTCCGGGATCCAGGTTCCAAAGTCTTTCCCCATTCAACCAGAACAATCCCCTAAGAATTTCACCAAGGGAGACAAGACAAGGAAACGCAACAAGATTAACAACTAGCTCCAGAGAAATAGTTAAAAGCAAATCCCACTGAATGAATACTAATGCAGAATATACCTGAATGAAAGCGATTTCAGCACACGAACTACCTATAACTATCTGTTTCTTTCACGAACAAGTAAAGGAAAACAACAAGCACCAGCTTAATCCAAACAGAGGAAGAAAAAACTATTCTACGTGACAGGTTTGAGCAAATGACGGAAGTATTCAGCCTGAAAAACAAGTATACATAAAAGTCAATGGGTGCTGATATTTTTGTAAAACATAATCCTAAAAACCGAAATAAAAAACCCAAGGAAGACAATGTTATTTAAACGTTTCCTTCATCTTTTCAATCCTTCACTACATACCTGGCATTCTCGGAGAGGGTGAAAGCACGCTATAACTCTAACTATAATGGTGGAGCTCCCAGCAGTTCCATTTTCATGTTTCAATGCTCGAAATCTCGTTTGACTAGCTGCTTGGCACACCATGACTACTTTCCAACACTTCAAAAAATGATAGAACGGCAATCTTCCTGAGTCTTAATAGTACACACTACGGAACCGGGGATTGAAGAATTGGAGAATACCCAAATACAGATAACAATGAAACTAGAATACTCCAAGAGAGAACGTAACGGCTAATGACACAAAAGTAAGCAACAAATAGACGCGTGCTTAAAATAAACTAAGACCTAGCGGAACACAAGAATTTGCGAGATGGGGTTGCTATCCTTCAGCTGATCTGACGGACGTAGCAAGGAACAACAACCAAGAAATTGGATCCCATGGAAAACCAGAGCGAGTTACGAAGGGCGGAAGAAATCGTAAGGGTTTTTTATCTCACGATGGAAATTACAGAATCACTTTGCAATACAGGTTCAAGGAAATAGCTTTGCGGTATACATCAACAGACAGACTAAACCACCACCGCATGCTGTTGTATCCTTATCCTCAAAGACACGCAGCTTTACCCAAGCCTACTTCGTAACCTGAAACAGAGTTGTAACGTCAGAAATTGTTTCACAGTTTATACCTATTCAAGTAAGCAAGAGATTTCCATCCAGCTTAATTTGCAACCAACTAAAAGAAGAAGAAAAAAAAAACCAGCTCAATTTTCACAATGACTTGACTCAATTCTTTGCCATATGCTACTAATAAAAACCAAAAAAGACCGAGAGAGATAGTGCAAATTTTCCTTGAAATCAAAACAACATTTTGTGCGTGTGCGAGTGGAGAAAAATCTCAGCTACGACTAGATTGAGGAATGACTGGAAGAAATCTTCTGTGGAGCTCTTCTCATGAAGCAATTGAGATTCAACAAAAAGAATAGAAATCATTCCGCGGCTTAAAGAGATGCCAGGTGTACGATGCTTGATTAATAACCAAAAACCAAGGAATCAAAGAAGATACATATAAGCCACCGTCAAAAAAAAGCCAGGAAGAACTTACAGATTAGAGACGAGGTTGAAACCGCAGCAAAATCTGAGAAGACAAATCTGAAGGCGGAGAGAGAAAGAGGAGGGAGAGAGTACGACAACAGCGGGAGGCTGAAAAGGAAAGAGGAGGAAGCGTGAAATGGCTACAGTCAAAACGGAGACTAACACCGGAAGAGAGGACAAGAGTTGAATTATATAGAGGATACAATGACATATATGTCCTCTGATTGAAGCGGATCAAATAATAATTAATAATAATTTTTTATTATTACAAGAAAATGAAAAGAATGAGTTTGATTCATACGTGTGCGCGCGAGCCGCGAGGGCAGAGGAGTGCACGCAAGGGTATATAAGTGTACAATGATGAAGCTCACACAGAAGCGCTGCCTTTGCTTGCACACTCGCCCCTCTATCTCCATGTCACCGTCGGTGGTTGTATCATGACCTCGGGAACTATTTTCTTTTTCTTTTCTTTCTTTTTTTATTTCAATTTTTGGGGAACAATTAACTCAGGGTGGTGCTGACCGGGCCCTTGGGTTAAAACCTAACCACCCAGCTTGGTTAGTCTGGTTGGCCTTGTCCCCGTGTCCCTGGACGAGTCTACCGTATACCCTCCCAACCAGGAAACCCCATCATGTCGAATTTCCCAATATACCCTCACGCTCCAACGTATTGACACCTGCATTTATTATTTTGCTTTCTAATTCGGCTAAAGCGTGGTGTGGTAAGCAATAAACAAGACATACTTTTCGATAGTGCCTGGTTCGTCATAAAAGAATCATATACATAGTAATTATACATGGAAGTATACTCAGTGATGGATGGAGGAATCTGATGTGGATGCAATTTTGCGTATAAATATACCTCACCCACCACAGCAGGAACAAAAAGAAAGGTGACGCGAGGAAGGAAGAGAGACGTAAGATGCAAAAGAAAAGCAAAGGAATTGAAGGATTATAAAGGGAAGGGGTAAAGGGGGATGGTATCCGATGTGTTTTTGAAATGAAGAACAATAATTTGTAGCTTGACCGTTCAAAGTATGAATTATACAGATTTAAGCAGCGAGGGTCCCACTCATCATATATCTGAAACTCGTTCGCCCACCTCCTGACACTACCACTTTCTTCTTGTTAACCCCATCAATGAGCTCCAAAGGACGCTTAATTATCAGTTATCACAGAGAAAAACGTCAGAAAAATTTTCGCAGCTGTCCTTGTTAGGTGACTCTTTTAACACCTCCATCGTATTGTGTTAATGTTAACCTTTGAATTCACTTGGGGGTTAACTTTGTGACCAGGCTAAGTTAAAATTTGTCTGTTTGCACACAGTCATCACACCACCACTACGTTTCCAACAACGCTTTGTACGCTGGTTGGTAGATGCTTTGCGATTTGGTTTTGTTCTTACGCTATAGTAGCACTGACTCAAAAACTTTTCTTTTCTTTCTGTTTTGTACACTGACTCGAACTTTTTACAACCAACCTTACCTTCCTTTTTGTAATGGTCCGTATCATCCTATGGAAGCCCACACTTTATCCTGCACTCAGAATCTTTAGCTTCGTTTCATTTTCTTCTTTACCACTACTAGTTAAAATTTGGATGTCATGAAGTTGGGCAGAGCACCAAGTACTACATGCAAAATAGGGAAAACCCCGACAGTTATATTATAAGTGATGTAAATTACATGCCAAGTACTGTGACAAATATTAATCTATTATCTAATCCCACAGCATCATGAAATAGCTTCTCGCCGGTCCCCTCAAAATTATTACAAGTTGATTATTTGTTTCAATCAACTAAGAATTCTTAAATGCAGTGGGTTAGCTTCAACGAGAAACCAGATAATTAAACCAGACACGAGAAGCTTAATTAACTACCGAGTAAAGTGGCCAAATAAATAAATAAATGAAAGAGGTGACGAAAGAGAAAGCACGCAGGTACAGTGAACAGACAAGGTATGGTAGCAGCTCCATAAGAAAACACAAAAGGAAGGGGGTGTGAGACCCATGATTTTATCACCTGAAGGAGATCTTATGCACAGATAAGAAGATCCACGGGCAGGCAGGTTTATAGACACTAAAAGCTTATTAAATTGGAAAAAATAATATGCACACTTTCATGCCTTCTTGTTTGGAGTGGAGGGAACAATAAACAAACCCCATTCAAATCCCATTGGGTCTAGCCTTTTGGTGGCACTAATTAAAACAACTACACCACATACCTATTGAGATGTAAAGCAGAAGTTCCTTTATCCATTTTTAAAATGCACACATATAGATAAGTCAGTCCCTTTAAATAAAAAAATCAACTCCATCGCACGTCTGTGTGTTATTTTATCATCATGGTCGCTTTACTCACCAAATTCGCTTTAAAATATTGCACATGACTTGAGCTTAGTGGTTATAGACCACCTAACTATTCATATCAAATCCCCAAGTTGTGTAGCTCAAGCTTCTGGGGTGACTGCCCACCAAGAGGAAGGGCGGAAAAGGGAGGGGAAAAAACAGAGTGATCATTCTCTGCAAGGCACCACCACTATTATGTATACTTGTTGTCATTCAGTTTTTCAAAAAAAAAAAAGATCTCTTCAAAGTCAATAATCAAATTATTTGCAAATAAACGCATGCACAAGTATATTCGGAAAAGAGATTCGTCTTTTATGTATGTATCGTTTGTTTTGATTGGGAATGGGCGTGTCATGTAAATATATTCTCTCCCCCTCTCTCCTTAGCCCTCTTTAATTATTTTTTATTTACAGTTCGTTCGGTTGTTCTTGGTGATGACAGCATGGTTTCATAAATGCATGCCAAGTCATGTGATTAAGTGACTCCATGAACACTACCGATACGGCAAATTAATTTTGAAGGGTTAATTAAACAAATGTAGATGACGACAAGAATGATAACCTACTTCTCTGGTCCTAAATATAATATACTTATACTCACTAGTATAAGGATTTTACATTTAGGATCGGAAGAGCAGTAACTAGTTATGAGAAAAAACTAGAAAGAAAGATGCATCCAGGAAGTTAAGTTGAACTAGTAAAACTTTTTTTGGTTTCCCTATTTTCCCCATTCGTTTTTCTCCCCCAGTTTCTTCTTTCTGATGCGATCGAACATGCTTGATTATGAAATGTGTACAATCAAGATCCTCAAGCACTTATACTGACAATACCCATACACCAAAATACAAGCAAGTATTTCTTAAAAAGTTACATTCCAAAAGCTAATTATTAGAATTGAGACTCCTAAATTCTAAAAAACCGAATTTCAAACAGATAAATCGCTTGCTTAATTAGTAGCCTCCGTCAATTAGATGTATAAAAGCGAAACGGCGGGGGCTCTGGTGGGAGGAGGTGTTTGTGTTTATAAATGATCCAAAGCCTCGGCATGATGATGGCACCCACCAAGAGAGGAAAAGCCAAATGGGTGGGTGGGGGCCACACATACGACATTAAAGCTGATTAACGCATCTTAATTTTCTGCGTAACCTAACCTGCTCCCTCCCACCCTCCCACGGAATTCTTCTCATTCGGCGTTGATCGCCGCAACCATATTGCTTGCCTGCCTACCCATCAAACGCACTGTTGTGATTGCAATACGTGATTTGAATAGCTGTTGTTCGTTAACAACGCATGAAACGCGCCGTCGTCTCACTCGTGATTTCCTTGTAGTGCAAAATGATGACACCCTATTTAACCGGCCAACCCTGCACGTGATATCCCTAAGATCATCGTGGCTGACCGATGAAATATTGAATCCAAATTTTCTTATGATTGAAAAAAAAAAAAAACAATTAATGAATGTTTTGGTGCGGCCTTGTATATAGTGAAACAAACAGAGGGGAAGAGAAAGAAGGAGGTGGTGGTGGTGGGGGAGAGGATGGAGCCAAAATGGAATTGGAAGGTGGATCGTCCAACAAAAATGACCACGCCTGTAAAGGCAATGTGCAATACCCTCTCCACCCAGGCCCCTCACAGACCCCCTATAAAGTATATTAAAAAGTATTAACTTTTCTTTTTTTTTCCTTTTTATTTTAAATCAATAAATGCCCACAATCCAA